CAAAAATCAGGTGTAGCATTCTTTTTCCTCCCCCTCCTTGAGCTGTGCTGTGCATCTGAGGGATCCCTTAGTCTCAGTCACACGTTTTTGGACCCTTCAAGGGGTGTGAAGAGAAGTGCAAAGGGAATAAATAATATGACATACAGCATGGCAGGATAACGGACAGGATTCCTGGATTTACACAGATGTTGGAACAAGGCAGAATTTAATCCCTGAACTGAATCAGGCCACAAAGTCTAGAGGCAAAATCCTGCACTGTGCATTTTATAAACACTTGGCAGCTGGAGTAACTCAGTTAAATGTTAAATGTTTAGTACCCGCTATAATTTTTTTTCCTGTAGGTGGTTTTGCACATGTTATCTGTTTACTGTGGGAGTCTTTTAAGCCTCTCTATCAGTAGCAGAACCAATAGAAAGAGCACAGGCCAGTGGTTCTGTCGCTTGGTAAGAATAAAGTGCAGAGCTGCTGCCTCCTTCCAAAGGGAAGGCTTCCTGGCCGCTACCAGGAAATACTTCAAATAAACCTACGGGATCAACATTCCCCACCTTAGCCAATAAGGAGAGGTGGGGGTGGCAGGCTGGGAATGCTGCTCAGTGGCACCCCAGGGATCAGAGCCCACATTCCAAGTTCAGTGCAGTTTTTTGCTGTTGTGTGTTCCCCAGGCAGCCCCTCGGCCTCCAGGGCTTTCCCCCTGCACGGGGATCCCAGCCAGGGGTGCAGCTGCACTGCCTGAGCAGAGACTCGCAGCAGTGAACTGACTGTTGAGTTGAAGGTGTGACACGTTCCTACCTTGTTGGGCAGGTTCAGGGCTTCCCCCGTCAATGACATCTTCTGCCAGTCTCTGCCGGGATCCCCGCTGAAACCCCACAACCTGGAGCAGCTGGAGAAGCAGCAGGAAATGCTGAAGACGCCTTTCAGGAGGGTCAAGGAGGTAGGATGTGTTTCATTTGAAACAGAGGAATATTTTCCATCCCAAACACGTTCTGTAGGATGGTGTCAGCCTTTCAAATAGTCTTTAAGCTTGTTGAGACCACCTGTAACTCACCTTATTTGGAAGGGAAACAAAGCAAGTCAGTTTGGGCTGCTAATTTAAAGCTTTTGTAGCTTTTGTGGCCTTCAGGTCACAAATGTGTGAAGGTTTGGACTGGAATTTTCTTTCAGCTAAAACTGACCAAAACAGCCAACTGGACTCAGCATTCAGTAATTTATATGATTTATAAGACTTTGCAGGGGATTTAACTGTAGCCTTTAATTTCAGGAAGAAATGCCTTCAACAAAAGAAGAGAAGTTCTCTTCCATTCACAAGCCTGTGGCTGTTGGAAGCCACCAGCTGTTAACAGTGGGAACAACCCACATCTCCAAACTGACTGATGAGCAGCTCATCAAGGAATTCCTTAGTGGCTCCTACTGCTTCCATGGGGTGAGGAACAAGGCTGTATGGAATAAATAGCTACTCCTTACCTGCACATCCTGCTTTATGACTTTGCTTAGTTTTCACTTTTAACCTCTCTGTTGAAACTCAATTGATTTGAGCAGTGAAGTGAGAGTAGGTAATGAGAATCTCATTCTGTTAATTGATAGATACGGGGGTTTACAGTTCAAATTTAGGGTTTAGGGTCCGGAGGGTATGGGGTTGTTTTGGGGTGTTGTTTTGGGGTTCTGGTGGTTGTTTTTTTAATGCTGACCTTGTACCTCTCCCCAGGGCGTTGGCTGGTGGAAATACGAATTCTGCTACGGCAAATACGTTCATCAGTACCACGAGGTGTGTTTAAATAGCTCTAGTAGTTCTTTATGCTTTACTTATTTTAATTTTGTAGCGTATCTGATAGATGGTTGTGGGGGCTGGAGAATCTGCCTCCATTTTCTTGGCTGATCAGCAACTTGAGTTCAAGAGGCTGGATTTCAGAAAGTAAACCCTCTGTGCACGGTGTCTTTTTTAGGACAAGGAAAGTGGCAGGACCTCCGTGGTTGTGGGCACGTGGAGCAAGGAGGAGCACATGGAGTGGTCGAGGAAGAACGCGGCCAGAACCTTCTACCTGCGAGAGGACGGCACCCAGACCGTCAGGTACAGACTCTGCCTGCTCTCTGCTGCTGCCAGCCTGGCACAGGACAGCCCTGGCAATGTGCACCTTGTTAACACCTACAACAAACTGGCAAGAGCAGCATGATAAGATTTATCCCCCCCTACCCCAGTCAACGTCAAAAATAGGTAATTCAGCACTCGGGAGATGATGCAGAATAAAACCTTCCCCTACTGACCAAGCTGAACTTCTGCAGTTCAGTCTGTTACTGTTTGTATATTAAATACCTGAGGAACAGTGAGGTGGTGGCTCTCACCACTTACCTGCCTGCTTAGAAATGGTGCTGAACACTTCCAAACCCTTCCATTCTGATCTTCCCTGGCAGGATGGTGTCTCATTTCTATGGAAATGGAGATGTTTGTGACTTGACAGACAAGCCAAGGCAGGTGACTGTGAAATTGAAGTAAGTGAACTGATGTTCTCTGTGTGTTTCCTGGGTGGGAGGGGGAAGCTGATGCTGTTGTCGCAGAGCTCAGAAGGCAGTGATTGTTAATTTAGTAAACATGCTGTGGATAGCAGTGAAACACATTGTTATTTTGTGCTTCTTACACCCCAAACACCACGATTTCTCCTCTGTTTTCAGATGTAAAGAATCTGATTCCCCTCACGCTGTGACCATTTACATGTTAGAGCCTCATTCTTGCCAATACATCCTTGGGGTAGGTAAAGACACCCCTGAGATCAGGTGCCAGGTCTCAGGTGCATGTTTAAGGTGGCCCCTTCCTTCCAGTGACTCTTCCCAAGATTCCTGCAGTGCTGAGTTTGTGGTCTCTGATGTTCTGGTGTCTCTGTTGCAGGTGGAGTCTCCAGTCATCTGTAAAATCCTGGATACAGCAGATGAATACGGGCTCCTCTCCGTGCCCAGCTGAGGACAGCAAAGCCCCCTCCATGAGCCAAATCCTGACATTTCCCACGGGAACAGCCATCTGTGAGCTGACAAAGGCCTCACCAGCACAGCTCTAAGCTGAGGGACTCGTGAACCACTTTGTGTATAACTACGTGTATATAAGAGCTTATGGATAAACTTTTAATGATTAAAACCCTGTCTTGCACTTCCTGCCTGGCTCGTGTGTGACACGTTCCACCAGCAGCATCCCTAAGGCACGGTAATAACCGAAGCTTCAAGTGAGGAGCCCAGCTGCCACCAGAAGGAAAAGGTGAAGCCAACCCTTCCTGCTCAGTAGCCTCACCACCACTCGTGGTTTTTCTACTGCCCCAGCACTACCTCTTCGTTTGACTGGTGGCAACTGTGTTTTCACTGTACCTCACCCCTCTCTTCAACTGCTGTTTCTTTTCCCAGCCTGGGCTGGTTTACCAGGACATTCCATTTATTTATGTGTTTATATTTAACACTGGAGGGTTCATCTTCATATAATTATTTTGCTGTACACCCTCCCTGCCATCGGGTCCAGTTCCCTGTAGCGTGTCTGCCTCGCAGAGGAGATCTGGCAGGTTTTACTCTGCCGGCACTAGGAATTCCCAGAAGCTGGGGAGGATCAGGCAGTTGAAATCCTGCTGATAGCAGGATCTGAAGTAGATTTGCATTATAAATAGGTGGAACAAGTTTGTAATGGCCAACACCCAGAGCCTTGAGCGTTTGGGGTGTAGCAACAGTGTCTGGTTGGTGTGTTGGTCACTTCCCTGTGCCCACCACGTTTCCTCTTTTGCAGAGCCCTTGTGCAAGGCACAGGAATTCCTGGCTGTGGGGGTGAAATGTGCCAGCCCTGTGCCATGTGAGTGGTCAGGTGCTGCCCAAAATACCCTCCTGAACTGCTGCACTGTTGCAAGAGAAGCCTTTTAGTGTCTCATCAAGCAGAAAACCCAAACAGCAGCAGCAGCGTGAGTTGACATTTAAAGTGACAGGCACTCTTCTTGCTCACATCAAGGTGTCAGAGGGAACTAGAAAAGGGGAAGAGTCTTCTACGCAGATTTTTTCCCCCCTGAAAGAGGGTCTGCCCATATTTCCCCACCACAACCTTATTCCAAAGCATTTGCTAGATAAGCAAAAAGTGGCCCAAGTTCTAATCCAGGAGCTTTTAGAAAGAGGAGACATTAAAACCAGTGTTGTCCACACTTCAGATCCTTACACCCCTGAACAGTCACAGCAGGACCAACCTCATCAGGACCTGCCAGAGGTGTCACTCCCCCAGGCCACAGTGGCCAAATTACAGTAAAGAAAGGTTAAAACTTGTTTACCTCGTGCTGCCTTGGCAAGGGGCTGTGTGAATCCCCTTGTTCCAGCCCTGGATCTGTGTGATCCCTTGGGATAGCTGTATTTTGAATCAAGGCTGCCCTGTAGCTCCCTGGCTGCTCTTGGGAAAAGCTGGACTGGCACAGCCCTGCCCCAGCATCCCTTGGGCTGAGTCATGGGAAGGGAAGGGAACCCCCCACAGCCCAAACCTTCCTGCTCGCCCCTCACTTGTGATCAGCCCGGAGGGCAGGCCAGGAACAGTCACTCTGCAGAAAGTCCAGAATTGCCCTGTGAGGAGGGGAAGCACAGCCCTGACTCAGCAGCCACAGCACCTGGTGCCCCCCAGCACCAGCCTGTGCCGCTGTCTGAGCAAACACAGCGTTGCCAAAGCCGTGCTGTCCCTGTTCCTCAGCCTCGACTTCCCCCTGCACAGGAACCCCCACGCTCACAGCTCTTCCTGCCGGAACCGGGCTGCCCACACACCCCCCCAAACAGGAGGAACACGCTTTGCTGCCCCCCTCCCAGCCCTCCCCAGCCCACAGCCCACGTGGGAGCGAGGGGAGGAGGCAGGACACACACACAGAAACCCCACAGGCCACAGCAGACCATGAGCTGCTACTGCTACAAGTAAATTCCAATATAATTCTGTGTTTTCACACATTTGAACCTAAAAGAAATAAACTTGAGAGTAATCTGCTGCCTCAACCCTATCCCAGACAAGCCTGGAGTGCAGGAATATGCCAGGACCAAAACTGGGGGAAAACAAGGTTCTTGAATACACAGAAAGCTCCCAGAACTGGAGGGCTGTGCTGCTCTGCTCAGGTTTGTGCCTGAGGGGTTCTGCAGGTTTGCTCCCATGCCTGTGGAAGGTAGAGCTGTTTCAAGCAGACAAGTGCATTTCCTGGCCATAAATACCTAAGATTTTCATCCAACACACAAATCTAAGCTCACCTTAATCAGAGAAGCTCCTGTGACATCTGGTCTCATGAAGGCTGGTGCTGATCCTCTCCGGGTTTGAGCAGCTCCTCTGCAGATTCAGCTCTCCTCCCTTACATTTCCAGCTCACAAAAACCCATCTCCTGCAGAGGGAGAGTGAGAACAAGTGGTAGACAAACCGTTTTGGGAGTGAAATCCCTTTATTTCATCACCCTGCCATGGTCCTGTTCTTGGCCACACAGTGTAGACCCTCCTTTCTCACTCACAGACCTTTCTCGTGCCCTGCTCTTCCTCCACAATCCCCCAAATAAGAGGTTGTTTAAAAAAAAAAAGGAGAATAAATGAATACACAGAGGGTGTGTTGGATAAATTAAAGACAGAATAATTCCAGCACCGTGTGTTGTAGAATAACTGTGCTTGTACCAAAAAAGAGTCTTTTTCACTTTGTCCCTTCCAGCCCTGATTTTCTCTCTGGGATTTTGCTGGGCCCTGTGGTAGGATGTGGCTGCTCCACCTTCCCAAAGGGAAGCACAGCCCAGGGTTCTCTGGCAGCACTGCTGTATTTACATGGAGAATTATCTGACTATGGGAGCCCACCCCATGCTGAGAACAGGAGATAAAATGTCCCCTGACGTATTCTGAGTGCTCTCAGTCTCCTGTGTCTCTCACCAAAGCAGACTGGCATCTGTCTGAAGAACTGATGACTGCAGGGTAATTCCCAGAACCTGTCCCAGCAGGAAAGTGCCTGGTCAGACCAGACAGATAGCACGAACCGTCTTGGATTTTCCAGCCCTCAGGACAGGGCAGGGGAGCCTTCAGGCTACCACAAGAGTTTCCAGTCATACCAATGACCAGCTGCAAAAGAGAGGGGAAAAAAAATGAAAGTGATTTACAGACAAGCTCTGGTCCCAGTGGAAGCTTGAGGTAACAATGTAGAGTAGGGTCCTTCCCCAGTGGGTGTCCCTGTGGGGCAGACGCCAACTCCAGAATGTGCAACGGCATCTCAGACCCCCCTCCCCACCTGAGATTCTCTGAGGGGGGGCAAAGGTAAAGTTACAGTGGATGTCATGTCATGCTTAGGTGGAGCTCGAGTGGCTTTGGTCATTAGCACGGGGCAGTGGCAGAAATAACCTGAATTTTGGAGCTAATGAAGAAGACCAGTTGCCATAAGCCGGGTTGTTGTTGATGGAGCACGGCCACAGCACGGCTGTGCTGTCCCATCCAAGCTCCCTCGGCATTCCTGCTCCCGAGGTGCGCAGACAGCCTGTCCCTGGTGAACCCGCCACTCCTTCCAGCGAGCTTTGTTTTCTGCCCCCAGCTGCGATGCCTGCGATGCTGCGGCGGGAGCGAACCCTCGCACCACACCGTCCCGGTGCCAGTGCATCATAAGAAGCCACCGGCACCTTCCACTTCCCCTCGGCCACGGCTTGAGCAACGCCCGAGGGGGGCACGGCGGGGAAAACTTGACAGATCCCACCGAGGACAATCATGTCCGGCACAGCCTTCTCCTCCTCCTCCAGGCGGGCAGAGGGAGGGGGGGCCTCTTGCCGCAGGTCCCCGGGGCTGGGCGGGCCCGGGGGTGTCCCAGCCCGCCCCCGCTCCCAGCCCAGAGCCACAAAAGGCACCGGCGGCAGCACGAGGGACCGGCGAGGGACCAGAGCAGGTACGGGGGTCAGAGGGACGGGAGGGTGACTGGAGGCAGGAACGAGCTGGGTGATACGTCCGCGATGCTTTTCACACCCCTGTGGTGCTCCGGCGGCTGGGTATTCCTGTGGGATGGGGAGTGGGCTGGGTATTCCTGCGGGATGGGGGGTGGGCAGCAGAGGGTCCAGGGGACACAGCTAGAAGTCACTGGGGTCCCTTCTCTTGGATTGATGGTCCGAGCCTGCGGGCAGCAAAGGGGACCGTGGTGCCAGCAGGTGACTCACCTGGAGCTCTGCCTTTTCAGGGAGTACATGCACGGCACGGAGCATCGGGACCGGGGTCTCGTGACAGAGAGCCGGGCTGGAGCCGGGCAGCGCTCCCGGCACTGGGAATTCTCCAAAGCCCAGCGATGCGGGGACAGTGACCTCTCCCGGCTGCCTCAGATAAGCGTCGCATATCCCACTTCCCAGCAAACTTCCCCTGACAGGTAAGGCCCAGCAAGTCGCTGGTAAATCCTTGGCAGAGCAAAGCTCCAGGGGGCTGGGATCACGGGAAGATCCATGGTCACAGTTCTGTGGAGCTTTACTGAGGTGGCTGGACAGGTTTTGGATGGGTCAGACTTGCCTGGTTGCTGATGAGAGACATAAAAGCAGAGTCCCATGGTGTGGGCCCAGACTGGCGCTGCAGATTGTGCAATGGAAGATGGTATTGCAGAGGTGCCTGGGGAGAAGGGAAAGAAAGAAATGATAATTCAGACTTTATCTACAATGACCTGAAATTAATAGAGCCCTCCTTAAATCCTTCTCTGACACTCCCTCTCTCTTACTCTGAAATAGGTTGTATTTTCTTTTAGTAGATAAAAGGGATTCATAGATACAATTAATGAAACAATTTCTGGATTTGCAAGTAAATTAGGATTATTTTTTTAACACACAGCACACTATAATGATGGATTTGACATTTCTTTTCTCCAGAATGAGGGTCCTTCCTGGCTGCCTTCGTCTCTACTTCATTTCTTTCTTGTTCAGTGGAGCACATGGATTCCTAACGTGGAGAACACCCACAGCCTTCCCAGTTTATAACTACTCCTATTCCAACCTCTCCTCTATCTCAGAAGCACAAGCTCCCAAAACAGCAAGAGCTCTCAATTTCTCACATAATGTCATTGAAAAAGTAACCAAGAGAGACTTGGAAGGTTTTGAGGCGCTGGAAGTTCTGGACCTTTCCTACAATCGGATTTGGGATGTTGAGCCTGGTGCACTCCAGAGCCTGCTCAGCCTGCTTTCTGTGGATTTATCATTCAATGATGAGAAGCTGCTTCTGTCACATCTCCCACCCCACCTGGAGCTCTCGCCCGCCAGCAAAGCCTCGGGGTCTTTGCGGCTTTCCAAGTATTCTGGCAAGTCCTCAGAGGCTGCTCCGGGGCCTTCTGAGCCCACCGAGGAGCCACCACGTTCCAGACATGCTCCTGTCCTGGAAAACCTTAACCCCAGGCTCCGGCGGAGCACTGGGAACCTGCTTCGGAATGGAGAGGGAAACACAACAGCGTTTCCAACAGCCAAACCGTGGCCCAGCTTCTGTGCAACACCCATCAACGGGACACTGGATCTGTCCCACAGCAACCTCTCCAATGATGAGCTGATGCTAAAACTGGATGAGGATGCCTGCCGAGCTCAGCTGGCCAACGTCCTGGAGCTTGACATCAGTCACAACGACCTGAAAATGGATCTGGTGTCGCTCTTCGTCCTGTTCTTGCCGATGGAAGACGTGCGGTGGATCGACGTCAGCTCCAGCAATTTAACCATCAACATCCTGGATGTGGAGGCCTTCTGCAAGTTCCCGTTCCACCAGCTTTTCTTTGTAAACATCAGCCACAACCCCATCAACAGCCTGGACACGCTGTGCCTCCCTCCCACCATCAAGGAACTCGACTTGTCCTTCACCAACATCAGTCAAATACCCCCGAATTTCGCTACCAAATTGTTTAACTTGGAAAACATGTACGTCCAAGGAAATCACTTCATCTACACAGCATCTCCAGACAGCAGGAACGCACTTCCAACGTGTGCCCCTCCCCCTGGGACTGTGCACATCAACGCCATCTCCTTTGTCAGGACCGAGTTTGGGACACCCATTGAAAGCCTCCCCAGTAAGGTGAAACACCTGGGAATGTCCAACTGCTCCATCGTGGAACTGCCCGAGTGGTTTGCTGACACAGTGAAGGAACTGCTATTTTTGGATCTCAGCCACAACCGCATTTCTGTACTTCCCAAATTCCCTTCCTCCCTGCAGCACCTCGACATCAGCAACAGCGACATCAAAGTCATACCCCCCAGTCTGAAATCCCTCTCCAACTTAACAACATTTAACATCCAAAACAACAAAATTACAGAGATGCACGTGGAATATTTCCCATTAGCTCTACAGAAATGTGATATCAGTAAAAACAAGTTGAAGGTGCTGTCCTTAACCAAGGCCCTGGAGAACCTGGAGCATCTCAATGTTTCTGGGAACCTGATCACCCAGCTGGAAACCACTGATCCCCTTCCTGCGCTCGCCAGCCTGGACAGCAGCCACAACCTCATCTCAGAGCTGCCCGATGGCCTTGCCGATTCCCTCCCAGCGCTGAAGTATTTCAATTTATCAGGGAATAAGATCTCCTTTCTACAGCGTGGCTCCCTCCCAGCTTCTCTAGTGGAGCTGGACATCAGTGACAACGCCATCACCACCATAGTGGAGGACACGTTCGGCCCGCTGACGAGCCTGAGGGTCCTGACGGTTCAAGGCAGACACTTCTTCTGCAACTGTGACTTGTACTGGTTCGTGAACGTCTACATGCACCGCCCCCAGCTGCAGATCAAGGGCGGGGGGGACGTGAGGTGCAGCTTCCCCCCGGACAGGAGGGGCTCCCTGGTGGAGAGCAGCCACCTGACGCTGCTGCGCTGCTCCCTGGGGCTCCAGCTGGGAATCACCGCCGGCACCGCCGGCCTCGTGGTGCTGCTGCTCACAGCCCTGTGCTGGCACTTCCACGGGCTCTGGTACATCAGGATGGGCTGGTACTGGTGCATGGCCAAGAGGAGGCAGTACGAGAAGAGGCCTGAGAACAAGCTCTACGACGCCTTCATTTCGTACAGCGAACACGACGCCGCCTGGACCAAGGAGAACCTGCTGGAGAAGCTGGAGAACGACGGCTTCAAGATCTGCTACCACGAGAGGGATTTCAAACCGGGGCACCCCGTGCTTGGGAACATATTTTACTGCATAGAGAACAGCCACAAAGTCCTGTTTGTTCTCTCCCCCAGCTTTGTGAACAGCTGCTGGTGTCAGTACGAGCTGTACTTTGCCGAGCACCGGGTCCTCAACGAGAACCTGGATTCCCTCATCATGATCGTGCTGGAGGACCTCCCACCCCACAGCGTCCCACAGAGGTTCAGCAAGCTCCGGAAGCTGCTGAGAAGCAAAACCTATCTGAAGTGGAGCCCCGAGGAACACAAGCAGAAGATGTTCTGGCATCAGCTGAGAGCTGTCTTAAAGACAACCAATGAACCCCTGGTGAGAGTGGAGAACGGATCCGCTCAGGAGATGTACGAGCTGGAATGAGACCCGAGGAACTGGGAAGGTTGTGCCTGGAAAGCCCGTGGTCAAACAGAAGTGTTTACCTCCTGCAAAGGCTCAGTGATGCCACGGGGTTTGTCTGGATCAGCCCCAGGAGAGGTTCCTGGCAGGACTGTCGCACTTGTGTCATTCCCTCTGATGAAGCAATCCCGAAGGGATGAGACCCAGGTGCTGGTAAACAGCCTTTTCTTCCCGGGTGCTTGAATCTCTCCAGCTATTCCCAGCATTTCTGTAAGTGCCGTGGATGTCTCCTGAAGGGAAGAACAGCTCAGGTCACACTGCACGTCCTCGCTGCTTTTTGAGGTGGTAGCAGCAATGAGGGATGTCTTACAACTGGAGTAAAGATTCCTGTTCTAGGACAGCCTAAGGTGGGAACACACCTGCACGCAGGGAAGAAAGCCAGCAGCCAGGCTGGCACACAGGCAGCAGGTCCTTTCTGTGGTTGGAGCAAGAAAAGACGAAAGATTTACTAAATTCAGCCACCTGAGAGGGGCCACTGCAAACCCACACTGCCACAGCCTTGGGCCTCAGTGACTGCTGGGAGACACTGGGCCTGGAAACTTTTATAAGTACACAATAAAATATACAACCAACACAAAAACCAGCTGAGTGTGTCAGTGTCTGCTGTTAGGTGACTGGGGTGAGCTTTACATCAACATATATCTCTGAAGAAACAGGTTCTGTACATTATTATTCAGATCTAGGAAAGCTTCACTTGATACAGTCACCCTGATCCATTTCCAAGGGACTCAGTGCTAACTCTGCAGGGCCCTTGTCCTCACCTAGTGCCACTTGACAATTTTATTTATTGTGTTTGGGAAAAAATAGAAGGAAATCCAGCTGACCTAATTTTCACATTCAAGGAAAAACAACAGGCTGTGGCACAAAATAAACACCAGGCGAGGACAAATCATTTGGTGGAGCAGGGTCTGGACTTGCTCCTACAGTGAGTGAACCCAAATGACTTCCCAGCAGAAGATGCCAGATCCAGGAAGGCAGGATGTCTGTGTGCAGCATGTCTGGAACACAGACTCTGAAAGGCAATTAGCTCTGCTGTGACAAAGTAAGACAAATCCAGACCTATTTGCTGCCAAAAGGGGGGACATGAAACAAGGGCCTGCATTCACAGAGAGATCTCCCAGAACTCACCAGATGCAAACCCACCCTTCCTCAGTAAAATGCTTTGGCATCAACAGCTTGGAGGTTTTACATTTAGAGGTTGAAAAATCCAACCCTGCAGCCCAGCAGCTGAAAAAGCCAACTCTCACCACCACAGAGATTTAGGACTTAGAAAGACTAAATTATAAAAATATTTAAACATTTTTGTTCATTTAAACAACCAGAATTCACTTGTTAATGAGATTAATGAGCCCCAAGTAATTCATCAGCTGTTTTTCTAATAAGCTCCTTGATGCTTTCTCCTTTCTTTCTAAACCACTCAGTGCTCACATTTCTCACTTCATCTCTTCCCACACATTTCCCACCTCCTTTGGCCTGCACTTTGTTGCTTCCCTCTGCTTGGATCTCTGCTTTTCAACCTTGCAGTTACTCTTTACTGGTTCCTTACTGGAGCTTGACTGGTTCCGTGCTCAGCAGGTTTCTCATACAAGGGGCTAAAAGAAAAAAGAAAAGTTAAACTCCCAAAGACTAAGCTGACTATTTTATCATAAAATTGATTAAATCAGTTCATGATTCTCTGCAAAGTTGTACCCACCTAATCCCAAAATCCCATCTCGATTTCCTACACCCATAAACATCCCACAAAACAATGAACTCAGTAAAACTGACAACTTAAATCAGGTTTTGCTCCTACTGCAGATGAAAAGGTGCTGCACTTTCCTATCTATACTTTTCATATAAACCCCAATATTAACACGTGGGTGGTATATTAAGAGTACGGTTGGCACCGGGAGTTAACAAAGTTTTTTTTGCACTAACACATCACATAAAGGCAATAAAAGCTCCTTCTTGGACCCTTCTTGCTTTACTCCCACATGAACATTCCACACAAATGACTGTCACGAATAAGGTGTGAGGGGTTTAGTTTAACCTTGCAGCGTGTGCTGAAGTTCATGTGATCCAAACTAAAGGCACGGGAGAAGTTGCACACACACAGCAAACCCCAAAACTGCTCCATCTGTATTTTTTCCCTCCGGTACAATTTGTACTGAAGAGAAATTTAACTACAGAACAACCAAACAAGACTTTTCAGTTATCTTTTATACTTAGTTTGGAAAGAACCACGTTATTCATTTGGAGAGAAAAAAAAAAAGTATCTGGGCAGAGAGGAAAGACTGAAATCACTTCAATTTTACATTTGTATTAGAAAGTTGTTCACATCGGTTTTATTGCAAGAAAGCTGGTTTGAATTATTCAAAACTAATTCAAATTCAGTGTTAAACAAAGAACAGCGTTCTAGGAAAGCCTCCAAAGCAGTTCAGTTAACAAAAGGCCCGAATCAACAACTCTCACGCAGCAGGGAGTGGATGGTTTTTGTTTCTGAAGTACCAAATCACCTTCCCATCGCTGTCATTTTCCTAAAGATGTGGCACTTTCCTATAAGGAGGTACCAAACGTCTGTGGCAGGATTGTTTTGGAGACACTGAGGCTCTGCTGAAGGTGAAGGTTGTTTGGCAGAGATTTGGTGACCTACAGCCAGAACTGTCAGGAATTTCAATTTCCCACAACGTGTGACACAACACAAAAATAAAACACAATTCCTTTCAAGTTACTTGCTTGCTGTGTAGACCAACAGAGGAAGTTTCTAAGCAGACAGATTAAATCAAACTGATGTTAAGATTTCTTAAAAAAAAAAAATCTCCAAAACTGGTAGTTAGCTGGGACATGGTTGTTCTGGGTTTAAAAATGTTAACAGCTGTCAGTTCTACCTGTCCCAATTTATAAAAGTCATGGGCAAACGAGCAATAAGGAACACAACTCTGTGCCTAACAGCTCACCAGTTGGGGAATTCCAAAATTGACTGCATTACTCCTGTCCTATAATATTGCAACATTCACCTTCATCCTCATCTTTATCCACATCATTAAGTAGGTATTGCACAGCTACTTCTATCAGAGGTAGACACCTCTCCAAATTATTTTGGGATACATAAAACAACCCTCCTTAAAATAAGCACCCAGCAGATATTTATATATTAACTGCAGAGGTTTATTCCCGTGCTATACTTCCCCAAAGTCCTTCCCAGTGGAAATACAACACTGACTGAATAATGCCTTGTCCCACTTGAAGAAGTCAAGAGTGAAATCCTGAACTTCGGTGGAACCTGATGGAAATTTTGCCATTTACCTCAAGGGAACCAGGATTTCACCTCAGGAATAGAAAAGACTTTTGATCTTACTGAAAAGTGCCACCAGTTTTTCCAACCTTCTACAATGGGAAAAGTTTCAACTCCAATAATAACAAGAACCCTCCCAATTCTTCTTTCTGGAAAATACAAGATACATGTAATACTCTGCCTTATCACAGAATGGGTTGAAAAGCTCATCCAGTCCCACCCTCTGCCATGGGTAGGGACACTTTCCACTAGTCCAGGTTGCTCCAAGCCCTGTTCAACCTGGCCTTGTGACATAATAAATCACACAGTTATGGCATTTACTTTTTCACTTGTCCAGCAGTAAAATTCAGTACCAAAACACCCTCACGTAACGATTCCAAACACAAATCTAAAATGCACCCCCCTTTTTGACTCGCCAGTGAAATTCCAGAGAAATCCCCAGGCATTGGCTCCAAACAGCTGGACATGGACAGGAATGGCATTTCCACTCATTGGCAGCAGTGCTGTGTCACTGACTTGGGGATAACCCTTCCCCAGCCTGAGCAGGGGCCGCTCTGGGCTGGTGGGTCAGGCTACACCGAGGGCACTGGGATGTGCCTGGTGGGAGCAGTGCCGCAGTCCCAGCCGCCGGGGGTGGGATGGGCGACGTAGGGCTTGGAAAAGGCAAAGGTGGAGTTGACTGGCTGCAGGCTGTTGGGGGTGCTGACTTCCTGGGAAGGGCTGCTGTTGTACACGCTGTAGTAGGGCTCGATCCGGGTGTTCATGGGGGTGGAGCTGCTCTGGCCGTAGTGCTGGTGCCCCACGGAAGCCCTGGGGCTCAGCACGCTGTCCTTGGAGTGACTGGGAGCGCAGGCCTGGTCCAAGCCCTTCTTCTGAGGCTTTGGGGACAACATGTACGCCGAGTTGGTCTCGTGGTGGGAGGACTTGTTCCTGTTGACTTCCAGGCTCCCCTTGCCCATGGCCCGGAGCCTGGTCCTGTGCTTGCAGCAGCAGAAGACGAGGGCGGCATACTGCAGGCACCACAGCACGCGGCGCCGCAGCCCTGCGCTGTTGCGGGAATAGATGAAAGGATTTAACCCGGACTTGAAGAAAATGAGGGTGAACCCACACAGCTCAAACTGGTAGAGGACAAAGCCCCCACTGCTGGACAGCACGTCCTGCACCAGGGAGATGCCCAGGGGCATGCAGCACACCAGCACGGAGAGCACGATGACCACGCACGTCCCCACGGCCCGGGAGTCCTTGGCCGTGGCCAGGTTGACGGCCGACGCCAGCGGGAGCCTCGTGGCGTGCTTGGGGTGTCCAGGGCCCTGTCCGTGGGCCTGCCCGCAGCTCTGGGTCCGGTACAGGGCGGGCTGTGGCCGGGGGGTGCCCACGGCTGCCACGGGCGGGCCCTGCCTCGCGCGCGCGTTCCTGCGCAGGGCCCGGGCGATCATCACGTAGGACACGGCCACCACGGCCACGCAGCAGATGAAGTCGGCGATGTAGAGGTAGAGGATGAGCCTGCCCTGTCCGCTGGCCAGGCTGGTCATGGGCAGGCAGCGCCGTGAGCCACGGGCACGCAGCGTGGCCAGTGTGGCCAGGGTGAGGCTGGCGGCCCAGAGCCCCAGCGTGAGCAGCAGCGTGCGGGGCGCCGAGGCGGCGCGGGGGGGCTGCCTGCCCAGCACCACGCGCAGCCGGTGCAGCGCGATCACCGCCACCGTCTTGAGGGACATGATGATGAAGCCGGAGCTGGTGAGGTGGAAGGTGAAGCAGAAGGTGCCCGACACGCCGCGGGTCGGCCCGAAGAACAGCACGAAGGCGAACATGGGGGCGGCCACGCCGCAGAGGAACAGGTCGCAGAAGGACAGGTTGAGGATCATGAAGTCGAAGTCGGTGCGGAATTTGCGAAGGGCCGGGTCGAAGAAGGAGAGCAGCACGATGAGGTTGCCGTAGGAGCCCAGGCAGAAGACAAGGGCCAGCAGGGAGGCGCAGGCGGCCAAGGTGGCAGCGTGGGTGCCCTCCCGCAGCTCCGCGGGGCCGCTGCCGTTCGCGCCCAGCTGCTCCCCGGGCCCCGCCGCCAGCCGCCCCGACCCGTTCATCGCCGCCCCGGGGGGCTCATCGCCGGCCCGGTCAGCGCCGCCCCGGGGGGTTCATCCCCGGCCCGGTCAGCGCCGCCCCGGGGGGCTCATCCCCGGCCCGGTCAGCGCCGCCCCGGGGGGCTCATCCCCGGCCTGCCCGGCCCGCCACTCACCGCCGGCTCTCCGCCGCCATGGCGCCCGGGCCCGGCCCCTTCCCCGCCCGCCCCGCTCCGCTCCCTCCGCGGCGGGGCTGGACCCACAGCCCCCGCCCTCCCGGCGAAGGCGGGCCAGGGGCTCCCGGCGCGGGGCGGGGGATGCGGTCCCGGGTTCCCCAAAGCCCCTCCGGCGCTGCTGCAGCACCCCGTTCTCAGCCCGCGGAGCAGCTTTGATGCAACGGGCTGTGCCAGCGCAGAGTGTGGTTCACACAATCACAGAGTGGTTTGGGTGGGAAGGGAACTTAAACATGATCCACTTCCACCCCCCTGCCACGGGCAGGGACACCTTCCACTAGCCCAGGCTGCTCCAGCCTGGCCTTGGACACTTCCAGGGATCCAGGGGCAGCCACAGCTTCTCTGGGCAACCTGTGCCAAGGCCTCACCACCCTCACAGGGAGCAATTACTTCCTAATATCCAATCTCAATTTACCCTCCTTCAGTTTGAACCCATTGCCCCTTGTCCTGTCAGTACTTGCAAACAGCCTTGCCCCATCTCTCCTGTAAGTTCTCTCCTGGCACTTTAAGGGATCATTCTGAAATACTCACAGGGACGAGAGGTCGAGGAAACTCTGTGCACGTTCTCCCAACTCTGTGCCAGCTCTCCCAGGCACACACAACCCAGGGGCCTCCACGTCACTGGAAATGCAGGTGGAGGAGATCAAAATCCAGCCAGGCAATGCACAGAAATACAATGGAAATACAGTAGACCCAGTATTTCTGACTTATGCATCACACTTGTCTTACAATCATATATACATCAATCTTAAATTTTATAACCATCCCCTACTCCAGCAATCATACAGGGTTGTTCTTAAACTAGTTGTGTCCAGGAGGGGGAAGGTCCAAGACCCAAAACATGGTTTCCTGTGGCTTCAAGGTATGTTCCCTCTCAGCTTGGCTGTCAACTTATTTTCCCTCTTACTTGTATTTCTGTTCTTCAGTCCTGGTTAATTTGAATTCTGTGGGTGAATCCTGGCCCTACTGACCGTGAGTTATTTTTTCAGGGGCAAGTTGGGCTATCCCTCCTTGGATTTTATTATTTGTAAATATTGGAGGACACTGTGTTACACGAACAAACAGGACTGACACAATGTTAGCCTAATGCAAGAGTGAATTACTTCAAAGTGGTCAATGCTGAGGAAATAGTGAGGATTGTTCCCTTCCCATGTAACCAAGGAGCACAAGATCCTCACCTGCTTCCCGAGCAGAAAACACACCTCACTTCAGCTGGAAACAAGACACTGCACACAAACTGACCTCAGCTTCTCACTGTGTCTAACCCTTAAGTCCTCACGAGGCCACACAACTTCTGTGGTGTCAGGTGCCAAAGCCACAGGAGTAACAACGTATTTTGCATAACAAGAGTCCTCTAAAAGGTTGGGAAGGTCTGTGTAAGTCCAGGTGTCTGATTTTTCTCTTGGCAACAGGTTTAGATTGTCACTCGTTTCATTAACACAGTGTTTAACAGGTCTGTGAGGAGCAAGGGTGGGTTTAATTAAGATGTTTTACCCTTCTACAGTTATTAACTGTAGTCTTAAATGAAGGAAAGAGTCTTGCTGGTTAAAGTCTGAGAGCCTCAAACATTCCAGCAGAAAAGAGGGAGAAGGGTTTGTACTCAGAGAGCAAGGGAATGAGCTGAGGCAAAAAGGATCTCCATGGGAGCACAAACCCCTGCCCAGCCCCTCTGGCACACCCAAGTGTCTCACTGGACTGCCCCTGTTTAAAAGAGCTTTTTAACCTTTTAAAAGAACTGCCAAAGTTTGGGGTGGGGGACAAAAGCATGGGAACCAAGACCCAAAAGCAGGGCAGGAATCACCAGAGCAACAACTCCCCTTTAATCCATCAGAAGTCAAAGATAAAAAGCTTACAAGTATTATTAGCAGAATTATCAGTGCTGAGAATACCCTTGATTCCAGTCCACTTTTCTCAGTCACTCTCCCTCCCAGGGAGGGAAAACTAACCTTTTTTCCCATCTTGCCTCAGGGACTTTCCCTCCTAAATCTCTCTTAACAGCTCTGAGAAGCACCTTCAATAGAAATCCAGTCTCCAGAGCCTGTGCCCCAAGGTGGCTGTGGACAGTGAGTGCTCTGGGATGGGGAAATCCCCACAAGTTGCCTTCCAGGTACTGCAGGATGCCAGCGAGGATGTAAAACACCTCAGCTGGTGACTCATGCAGGGTTAAAGTTAAAGCATTCCAAGGACAGTGGCCAGCAAAACCTTCTGCTGCCACGTGGGTTTATTTTCTCTTTGACATCTTACCAGATTATGGTGTTTTCCACAGCACAGGGGAAGAGGAAGCTGGAGGCTCTGCTGCAGGAATTCCAGGGAGCCTGAAGCTGTGGAGGAAAGTGTGAGACTGAGCAGAGTGTGGGATGCTGGGGATGCCTAACTGTGAAATGAAAACCTGCCAGGAAACATCAGCCAGTGCACCCAGCACAGGGCTCCCAGCAGCCTGGGAAAGGATACAGATGAAAGGGGACATACCTGGATGTAAAAGGAATGCATCAGAAATAAGAACCTTCATCCCTTTTACTCTCTAATTAAAACCCCAAACCACCCCCCCCCTCCCCAAATTAGTTCTACTTGTCAGTAACACATCCAACTTTGAGTCTGTGGTACCACCCAAAAGCACAAGTTTAAAGTGTTATTCACCCATTGGATAATTTTCTTATGTATTTTTATCAAAATAAGCATCAAATACACTTGGTTATGGAAATATGGGAGATTACATCACTCAATGTGACCATTTAATGTTCTAGCACAAGAATAACTGAGCAGTAAGTCACTGGCAACTTGAGCAAATGACACAAAACCAAACCAATCAACCAACCCACCCACAACAAAAACCTCCGAACAAAAACCTCCCAAAGCAAACAACCTTCCCCCCCAGCAAACAAAAAAAACACCCCAAAACCTCCCATGAATGAATTCTACCTTACATTTTTGCCCTTCCCTGGTGCTTCACAGTGTGGTCACAGGTTATCTGTGCAGACTGACAGGTCACTAAGGCTATCAAGGCTACTAGACCATCTCCAAGGTATTTTTCCATCTCCCTTCCTGTTCCAAGGGGAAAATTTCTCTCTTCTCATGCTAGAATTGTCTCCCTCTCTAGACTGAGGTCCTGCAGTCAGCTCATCTTGAAGGCTTTAGGGAAGAGACAGTAGAAGACATCAAAGTGATGGCAGCTCTGAACTCAGGATGTGTGTGTTGCTTGGGGCAAGTCGGGGAATAAAAGCAGTAATGGAGTTGTGGTCTTTGATGAAGATCTCAAAACTGTTCCTACAGTTCCAGAACAGGAGACTAACAATCCTTCCCTCACCAAAACTCAGTCAGGACAGGTTTGCTCACACTATCACAGCTATATTTTATCCTACTGAAGTGTATTTTGAATAAGTGCTCTATTTACAGGGTGATCTGTTTGGATCAAGGAATTGACCGTGGATTTACAACCAGCTGTTGGGAATTAATACCACCTCCAGCTACAGAATGATTCCCTACTGGGTCCTGCAACCAGTTCCAGCTACGCTTTGACTAAGAAAAGAAACTCCCAACACAGCAGAGAACAGCAGAGTTGGATCCTACCAAGACCTGCCCTCCAGGAAGGCAGGACAGCACGGGCAATATCTGCCCCAGCAGCTGATGAACTGCCAACACATCCTCTAAAGCTGACCCTCTGCACCAAATGCTTTCCATCACTTGTCAAGTTTCTCGATTCTATCAGCAAACCCATCTCCACTACGCAGTACTTCCTCCAATTCTCAGAAGTTACTGAGTGTAACAAGTGTTACAAGAACGTTACTAAGTGGCACAAGGTGCTCTTCCATAAATGCAGACGCTCATTGCACAGCCCCTGGAACAAGGTCTCCGATTAATCCCTAACATTGCCTTAACTCACTGCCAGATCCCAGGACAAACGCCGGCCTCACCCAAAAGCCCAAAAGCACAGCAACCACGTGAAGCTGAGGTCTCACACCCACCAGTCTGCGCCTCAGAGACACGGCGAGCTGCGGTTGTTACAAACAGTCCGTTTATTGGGTCTTTCACTAGGTACACAGTGGAACTCAGAGTTTGGCACTACGCTATACATCGTGGACATCCATCCGGGCGCTGACAGCGCTGCCCCGGGGGCTGCGGGGGAGATGGAACACACTCCAGGTCCACGAGGGGAGCACACCTGGGGGTGCGATGGCAGCGTTTAGAGACGGCCACACGTGGTGCAGTGAGATCTGGATGGGACACAGCCAGGATGAGATACAGGAAAACCAAAACAAACCCTCTGCCGCTCGGGCACAAAGAGAGATTCCGTTAAAGAAAATAATTTAAAAAACTAAGAATGGCATTTGATTTGATACAAAAGCCAGAACCACTACCGTATTAACATCTAAGTATGAATCTTTACAAATTAATCTCACAATGGTGTTATGTAAAAGGTTGCAAACTGTACAATGTTTTGTCAATGCAATGCCTCTACAATTTATACAGTCTTTTACAACTATGTAACACATATTAAACAGGTTATTAAACAGCCAATTCATACCAGTCTCTGAACAAAGCTGCAGGCAAAAAAACACAGAGCTTCCACAATCTTCAAACGAGATATGTTTGCTCAAACAGTGACAATCTTTATGAGGATACACTGTTATAAACTGCCTTTCCACACTGTGCATACACATCATTCCTTGAGTTCAACCACCACTTACAGTCCATCATTTCCTATCTTGGGCTCTAATTACACGGAGAAGTCAGCCTTTTCCCCTTACCCATACGCAGATAATCACAGATTTTTATTCCACCCATGGCCAAGTTCCCTCCAAAGGCCTGGCCAGGCAGCAAGAGCTGTCACTGCCCACGCTCTGCCTGCCACCACCTGCACCGCACGGGCATCAGCTATTTACATTTGCACGAGGAAGGTACAAAAAGGCAATCCTGCCCTGAGCTGGCTGAATGAGAGAGACCCAAATCCCAGGAGTGAAAAATAAACTCTGAGGAAGGCAGGCTCCCGGGATTGTGTGCTGACCAGGGGAGGGACGGAGAGCTCCACAGGGAAGACTCCGGGGCGCGGCACTCTCCGGTTCTGCATATCTTTAATGCTGGAGTCAGCTGGGAACGGGGGCAGGACAGGAGCGTGGGAAGTGTGCAGTGGAGGTCACCGTGTGCAAGGAAGCAGAAACAAGAGTGATGTGTGGTGTAGGCCCAGGAGGAGGGTCTTGCCATGAACTCACGATCAGGCCCTGCAAGCGCAGCCTCGAGAGGACTGTGGGGCTGCCACAGCTGCTTCCTGGGGAGGTGAAATTCCTTTTGGGTAGAACCAGGTCCTTATGTTTGTATTTTAAAGTGGGGTTTGATTAGGCATCAGGATTTCCAACACAAAGTTCTCTACATGATCAATTGCTTTTGAGTTTCCTTTATTTCGCAGACAAGTTCCTATATCCTCGTTGTCCCAGGAGAAACCTGAAAGAGAAGGAATCCAAACCACAAATATTACCTCACGCTACTGTATATATGAAAATACACATTAAAGCTGCTCTTGGAATACTGTCACAAAACACCACAACACAGGAGAGGTGGGAATCTTGTAGTGTAACAAAGAGAAACTCCAGGAATGGATTCCCTCTTTGGGGACGTGCCTGTGTGAGGAGACCTGGCAGGGTGGAAGAGGAAACCGTGTGGCAGCAGCCATTCCCCATCGGAGATGTAGGTGATATACTGGGCTGGGTGGCAGCTAAAGTCCTCACAGGCACCAGGAGCACAAAGCAGCACGTCCCTCCCCTTTGGGGACACTGCCAGGCATTTAAAAGGCAGCCAACTGGCAGAAAACGGAGAAAAGGCACATCAATAGTCAAGAAAACAAGTGTAAATGTCTCAGCAAAGCACTGGGGTAATACAGGGACATACAGAGATGGGCAATATTTAATCAGGACAAAGCTGGTGTGGAAGAAGGCCACTGGAGGGGCAAGGGGTGCAGATTTGGCTGTCCCAGGGTGAGGGATTCCCCCACTCTCCCCACGCTCCACTGGAGAGCTGGAGCAGGATTCCTCAGGCTGACACCTCTGTACACAGGTGTCACAGCACATCAGCTCACCCACCTATGCATAATAGCAGGGTGAGACCAGGAGGTCAGTGAGCACCAGGAGCTGGTCGTCCGTGAACTGCTGTTTATGCTCCTGCCAGTTGTCGTGGTGGGTCCTCCGGAAATTGGACAGCGTCTTCTTCACAGTCATCTGCAGAACACACAGCGGGGTGGATCCCTGTCCCTGCAGAGCCAGCTCCACCCCAAAACACGGGCAGGACAACAAACAGAACTGCTCAGCCTCACCAAGGGCTGGAGCAGAACCAAAGCTCAGGAGGCCTCTGGGGAATTCAGCCCAGTACTTTAGTTTTCACAGGTCTTTTGACTGGTGTCATGACTCCAACACTCGCATAAAAAGGATTCTTGCATCTACAGTTCTGAGGTGGAAAACAGTAAGGGATTCTTAGGAAGTAGAAGCAAAGTGCTTTTCCCTGCTGTCTTTTCCTTGGGTATTTTAAACCAACCAATGGTTTGGGTCTCAAAACATGAGAAAGTGGATGACAGGTTCACAGAAACAAATCAGAGGAAAACTATCTTCTGTTATTACAATAATGAAGATTATTATTCAATTAACCAAAGAGAAGTCCCATCAGTTCAGTTTCCTGCTTCAGGAAGTCACACCACTGCAAAGTTTGCTAAATCTAAGAAATTCTGCAGCTCACTCCTCTAAAAAAGCAAAGGTTAACAAAACTCAATACAGGACAAAAAAATAGAGTTAAGGACAACTATTTCATTAAAAACTTATTTCTAGGGCTGCTCATAAAACTTTAAGAATTTCAGACTGATGTTTTGGTTCAGGTTGTTTTCTAGAATGGTATCCACAAAAGGGGCATTTTTAATTCAAAACATTATATATATATATATACACACACACACACATTTTAAATACAGTTCCTGCAGCTTTCAGTTTATGTTTTGAACTTGAAAACAAGGACAAATCTACCACAAAACAGACTTAAAAGCAGTCCATGATTTAACACTATTTGGAATCATAAATGAGTTTCTTAACAGGTTCCTATTTTTTTCTGAGAAAGGGGAACTAAGAGCAAGCCAAGTGTGTTTTAGCTGTGTTCTTACCTCAATAGGCTGGGGATCGTTCAGGTGGGCGCTGAGATCCATGAGGAGCTGGGGCATCCAGGTGGGCACGTCGTAGGGACTGGAGAGGATGCAGGCGCTGAGCCCCAGGACCCCGGCGTGGCGCTTCACCAGCTCTGCGAGCACAGGGCACCACATCACACCGGGGCAACACAGAGCAGCAAAACACCCCCACACAGGACAGGGATCCCCCCTTCTGCAGAAATCCAGACAGTTCTATGCACACAAACCTATGGATCTCCACACTGCTGCTGCTTGCTCACACAGAATCCCACACTCATCCTCCACCTTCGATTTCTAATGCTAGAATGTGTGAGAAATTCATCTGCAACTGCTGTAACGCTTCATAAACATTTCCAGTGAGCTTCCCTCTCTCAAGGAAACTCAGAAATAGCTCAGGAATGACGCCATGGACAATGTGGAAACTCAGACTTCTGAGTCAAATGGTTGTGACTCCCCTGCATTACATGTCCAGTCAGAAGCCAGAGTCGCAAACTAAGTCTAAGGGGATTTTTGTTCTATTTTTTGGTTGGTTGTTTAGTAGGGGGCTTTTTTTAGAATAAAAACTACACTACTAAAAATAGAAGGTAAAAAATGTGTTGTGACAGCTAAGGAAGTTTATTTACTGAGGAACTTGCTATCCCTAATCGTCTGCATCCTTAACTCTTTGAGCTGGGATATGGAAATATCTCTTGAGTGTTAATTCTAAGAGTAAGAAATTAGTTTAACGTAAGAACACATAGCAAAAAACATAATTTGCTTTTGCTGTGTATTCTTGTTCATCATTTATGCTTGTACATCAACTCCTTGAAGCACTTAACAAGGATAAGGATGTGCAACAGGGACTGGGATCTGCACTCCACGGACAGAAACAGAGCATAAGGTACAGAAGGACAAGTGATCTGCCATTATGGTTTATGAGTGCTTAGGAAGGCAAAACATCCCCATAGTGTTATGTTTTTACCAGGTACATATTAATTTTCTACGTGCTGCTGAGCCCCAGGACGAGCCCCATTGCTGCAGTGCTGGCAGACTGGTTTGCCCCCACACTGCCTCCCTCATTCCCTTACCCCCAGAAGGAATGGTGTCCCTCATCCCTTACCCCCAGAAGGAATGGTGTCCCCCATTCCCTTACCCCCAGAAGGAATGGTGTCCCCCATTCCCTTACCCCCAGAAGGAATGGTGTCCCTCATTCCCTTACCCCCAGAAGGAATGGTGTCCCTCATTCCCTTACCCCCAGAAGGAATGGTGTCCCTCATTCCCTTACCCCCAGAAGGAATGGTGTCCCCCACGGAGCCCAGGTCCCGTTTCCGTTTCTTGGGCAGCCTCATCTTGCAGAGCTGCTCGAAGTGTGTCTGCATGGGCTGGTCCATGGAGAGGAAGTTGCACTGCAGGAGCCCGCTGAGCGTGGTGGCCGCCATCTCCCTCACCTGGGCACAGCAGCACACACAGTTAACAACCCCACGAGCACGGCAGCAAACTGGGATTTGGGACACCCAGCCAGGCCAAGTGCCCAAACTCCACCCAAGAAAAGCCCTTACAGTTTCACGCTGCTGTCTCAAACTATTAGTTGGTTACTAGATGGCTGCTATAATACAGAAGGACTTTCACATAACTTGTCATAACGTGACCTGCTACTCATGCAAATCATGTAATTTAACTCACAGTTAATAAAAATATCACAGATGTAAACAGTTGTCATAGAACTGGTTGATATCACAGTCCATGATAACACAGATAGACTCAGAAGGGACATCATAGCATGGACTAGAGGAGCTTCAGAAAGTTCAAAAACAACCTTGGACTGAGACCAAGATGCACCACCACAAATACTCAACATGCTTTACAAAATCCCTAACAGATTCTGTATTAACATCAGTTTTAAAGAGTCCTTTGTTCAAAAGCATTTAGTTTTCCCCTTCAAATGCAGAATTGACAAAAAGAGGAGAGCTTTTCCAAGAGAAGGCAGAAGGGATGTTCAGGAGACTCAGCTGATTTTGTTCTACCTGTAGCACCAGAATTCTTTGAAAGACACAACAGATGCTGGATTAATCAGCCACAACAAATAATTTCAGTGGTTTATGGTCAACAATTCAGTTCTGTAATGCCCCAGAATGATAAACCTCCTTGCCCCAAGTACCACATCTTTGCACTACCTGAATAAAAACACAATTCCAGGTTGGAAAAATAACGTTCCCTCTGGTAACACAGAAACCCCAGAGAACAAGACTAAACTAAGTTTTCATCAGTTTCCAAACTCCTGAAAATACAGATCTCCTTTTCCATCCCTTTTAGAACAGCCACAGCACCTTGTCAGTGGATTCCGAGGAGAGCCAACTCATAGCTGCTCTTAAAAACAAATGACTAATTTCTCAGGATTACTAAGTTCGTCTCATCTCCTCGAAGCTCCCAAAGCCACAGAACTGTAAGATCATATTTCAACTGGGATTCCCTCCAACTCTCACTCCTGCTTCCAGTAACTCCGAGCTGCCAAAAACCTCCCCATGTTTCCAACCCTGCAACCCAAACGGCCCCGCGGAACCGCTGCCAGTAGCCACCAGGTTTTGGGGAAGCACATTCTGTCACAGGTAACTGCAAACAGAACACCTGTCTCTGTGGAGCACAACCACCTCCCAGTGCTCTGAATCCAGCACAGTAGATTATAATAAATTATATCCATTGGCACACAATGTTCTGAGCCTCCACCAAACCCTAAGTACAGCTGCAAGTGTTGCCGTAATTAAAGACAGCAAGTTCAAATAAGCTCTCGAGACCTCGCTCTGCTCCATTTCAATTTCCACCAGGTATTATCCAAGCGTGATCCACTTTGCTAATAGCTGGGGAAGGATGAGGTGAGAGCCTGCCAGCGCTGTTTATCAGCAACTTGTGAGTCCCTGAGGAGCTGGGCCATTCAATGAAACACGATGTGCTAATGCCAGAGCCGGCGCACAAAGCAGCTCGGCTGCGAAGTGAGCGAGGCCCCAAGTGAGCTGGGCTTATTTACATCACTGCTGCCTGCATTAAAACCACTTTAACTCCTGAATCAATCACCTACCTAAGAAGGAACACTTTGCTGCAAGGAGCACCTAGGAGCAAAGCCTTTAAAAACCATACATGAAGCAGGTAATCACTCATCACATCTGACACTAAGTGATTTATAAACCAGCACACTCACATGATGACTTATGGAATACAAAATCCACACAGGAATCTTCCAATCAGCTATGGGATTTGGGTTTGTCAGTCAGGAGTGACCAAGTTCTGTAAAACTGCAGCGATATCAGAACAAAACCACTGAGCAGCACAAGCCAAACCCAACTGCACAAGCTGCAGGGGGTACTGAAACAGAGAGAAAATGCTCCCATTGCAGTGCAATATGAAAAATGTTCATCAAGACAGGAGTGCATTCAGCACACTCTGTATTAAAACAAAGAGATGGGATGGACCTTTGCATCAAAACAAGCATCTTAAAATCCAAGAACCAAACCCTGAGTTCTGCAGGGTAAACACAGTAAATCCTAGCTAAAGATGAGGATGCTCATCTTAAACATCCAGCATCCAAAAGCTGCCCAGGAATTACTCTGCAGGATACTGCACCTTGTCAGTTATTACCAAGGAAGAACAAGATTACTTTCCAAAGAGAAGTGAAAGCTTCCATGGCAACAACACGATTGGAAGTGGTTCTGAACACAGAGCAGCTCTTTGGCTCCACGTCTCTGTAGTGCAGAGGAATCATTTGGTACATTTAAAATAACAAGATAAATTGCATTCAAGTGAATAAAAGGTACTTTTCAAAATGATGGGAGATTATGAGGTAAGTGTTCTGACAAACAACTTAGAGGGGATTGCAAGGTGCTGCAGAACCTCCTCTTTCTTCTAGAGAGGGAAAAGTTCCCAAAAGTAGAATTTCATTGGGATTTGCCAACTGCACAAACACCAGTGGAAACGGTGGTGAAGGACCAGACTGGAGATTAACACTAAAGATTCTTCACTGTGCTTGAGCATGGCTTAAATTCACAGCATTTAATGCAAACTCTCAGCTGCAGAGAGCTTGATGTACACAGTAATGGTAAAAATACTTCTAAGTTGATATGATTAAGTGGGAAGCAGACCTCTGGAGTAATAAATCTTGAGTGGGTTTACACACTGTCCACACAGGAGGGCATTTTACCTTGCCGGAAGTTGAATTTCTCCCAGCACACATGCTAATATTTACAGGGAAATTATAACATCTCTATTTCAGCTCTACTGAAACCAAGCAATGCACTGAATCTGTGAAAAAGTAAAAATAACAGGACTTCTAAGAACCACTAATGGAGCATTTTATAAACAGCTGCCTTCCTGGTCTGGCTTCTGAAAGAAACAAATCCTGTAAAGCTGATTTTCCAAACAGGAAGAACGCTGAGCTGAGCTGGAAACACCTGCTGCACTCATTTACAGCTGGCAGTGCTTCCACAGAACTCGCCAGAGAAAGCACTGCAGAGAAGGGAGCACTTGCCTCGAGCTGCTCGTCCTCCAGCAGCTGTATGACCAGCCACCTGATGTCATCGACAGCCTCGCTGTTGTTGAGGAAGATGAAGAGGTTGTAGAACACCATGGTCTGGAGGTAGGTCAGTATGGTGTAACGGGCGTGCCAGGAATTGCTTCTTGCTGTCTGCAAGGAGGGACAAATCAGGGTGAGACCAAAAAGCAGCTGCCCGGTGCAAAACCAACAGTATTTGAGAAATACTTGAGAAACAAAGCTCCTGCAGCAGTTGCAAAGAACTTCCCTCGCTCGGGTGGTTTTGTTTCATACACCCTTGGTCACCAAAGAGATCAAATACAATTAATTTCATGCTTCAGATCCAAGTTCAAAATTGAGAGGAAATTTTGTGGAGTTCACTTACACTTAAATAAACCTTTATTTTGGGGTCATGGATGTTATTGTTGGTAACTGACTGATGTTTATATAAACTCAGGTACTATGGGCATGCAAGTGTTACTTAAGTCATAATCTTTATAGTCTCCACTTCCACAGTAGACTTATTTAATATAAATATATTGTGAAACTATAAAAAAAAAAAGTCAGTTTCAAGGACACTTCTTTACATGAAGATTCCTCTTGAAACTGGATTTTGAATTGTTGTGCTCATGAGGAGACATGTTGGACTTCAACTGATCCACTCCTGAGCCAAATGTGAATTTATTAAAAAGCAGTTCAATTTCTCATCAAAACCAAGTGGTTTAAATGTTTGTAAGCAGGAAACGAAACAAACCACATTTGCTGCTTATGGGAGGGTTCTAAAACACTTGAAATAAACCCTTTCCTTTCACACGTCAATCAGTATTTGATTCTCTCAGAATCGCAGCTACTGAGTAATCTTAAACAAAAGGCAGAGAACAAGAAGCTTTAAGCTGTTCAGACCACACTCACTTGTTTTAGCACCTGAAGTACCAAAGGCACTTGCTGAGGATACAGCAAACCCTGAGACATCAACGACAGACACATCTTTGCATCTCTCTTGAGCTCATCGTAACTATTGTCATTTTCTACGGGTGCAATCTGCAGAGAGGGAACAAAACCCAAGGGCAGTGTTAGTGAGGAACCACTGGAAGCAGCCGAATCCTGAAAGAAAGGGTAATCCCACAAAAGGACAGTTGTCTAGGAAAAATACATTTAATACATTGCTGGAAGTTAACGGGGAAAAACAAATCAATGTAACATTAAAATATTCTCAGCTGTTAAAAAAAAATAAATAATCCAGAGTTCCTCGTTCCTTGCCCCATTTCTTATTCATCTGAAGAGTATGGCTGTCAGGTGAGACAAGGTCCAAAGGTGAGAGAAAGCTTTATAGAGCTCCCTTCCACTTCAGTAAACCTTTATTTTGGGGTCCCACATGTTATTGTTGGATAACTGATTGATGTTTACACAAGGACACATTGTTGAGGTAAGCAAGTCCAGATTATTTCAGATTTGTAGCACTGGATGGCCCAGATTCACCAAAGCAGACAAGACTCAGGAGAAGGATCCCATTTAGAAAGAATTGTGTAATCAGGGAACAAAAGCAAATAACTCAAGGTCCCTTGAGAACAGTTTGGGTTGGAAAGGACCTTAAAGATGATGCAGTTCCAAGCCCCAGTAATACAGGAAAGTTAAAAGATGTACCTTGAAGAACAAAGGTAAAAGCTGGAGTTGCTCTGTGACAGCTGTAGAGAAAGACCGTCCCGCACTCGCCATCAACCACTTCAGAACTGTTGATAAAGAGTTAATAAATGTAGTAACATGATCACTGACTTAGAATAGTAACAACCCCCCAAACAAGTTACAGACCACATTTATTGCAAGACTCTCCTGTGGGTTTTTCCCCACATTAGAGTGGTTCAGTTTGACCCCTGAGGTGACTTTATAAATCCCACCCCTGGAACAACAGCTCCAGTGACAGAGCAGACACAAGAGGAGAAATCCTGTAGTGCAACTGCACAGCGCCCCAAAACACCCATTCCTCAAGCTCAGGAACTCACTGGTTTTCAAGAGTTTAATGCCCTGAGTTCGCTCATCCTGTTCCCCAACTCCATTCTCCTCCATCACGTGATTCTGAATCTCTTCATCCGCCTCCATGAGGGGTTTGAGGTTTTCAAGTATCCGGGTAGTGAATTCATGGACACGAGGAGATTTAGTTGGAGCAGTGTTTGGCAAGGAAACATCAATCATGAATATGTAGGTCAATACACTAGGAAAGCAAACAAAGCAAGGCAGAGCACACAGTCAGCACCACTCCTGTCTGGAGAACACACCGATCCGTGACCCACAAGTGAATCCAGATCAATTTAGTGACCTTTCAAGTTTAACACTTAGAAAAAATTTCCTCCCATCTTCACTTCAAAGTTATTTAAAACCAAATGATCCTCAAACACCCTCTTGGTAGATATTTGAATCAATCAGGGTTAGACCATCACTAAGTTACAGCCCTCCACTCCTCCAAATTGATCTGCAACTGGTTTTTGAGTCACTAAAAGGACTTCAATTCCCTAAAGGAGTCCCTGTTATTTTTGGCTTATTAGGGCTTAGACAGTAATTTTGGGGTTTGGAGATTTTTTGGGGGGCAGGGGATGTTGTGGGGTTTCTGTGGAGGTTTTTTGGGTTGTTTGTTGGGTTTTTTTTTAAGAGCTTCAGAGTTATCAGACATAAACATAATGGGCCATATGCAGTAAACTGGGGAGGCTCTGGCACAGGTGGCCCAGAGGAGCTGTGGCTGCCCCATCCCTGGAAGTGTCCAAGGCCAGGTTGGACAGGGGTTGGAACAACCTGGGATGGTGGGAGGTGAAACTGGATGATCTTTAAGGTCCCTCCCAACCCAAATCATTCTGTGTTTTTATGAATAAAAGAGAAAACCAGAGAAATCACCTGAAGTTTCTGAAGCAAGTCTGTTAATAGTTTATCTAATTTCTGTTAGCAGTATAAGTGCTTTCCAGTGTAATTATTTAGATCCTTAACCACCCCAATAAAACGAAGAGTTAAACGATCCCCAACCAGCAAGAGCAGCAGAGAAGAGAACACTGACCTTCCTATTCTCTCCCGGACGTTTTTGTACACCTGGGTGAGTTTGGGCTCCAGGTACTTGAGCAGCCTGTGCAGCAGCTCTGGCACCCTCCACTCCTGCTGGGCAAGGCCCCCCTGCAGCACGTACAGGCGGCTGGGGAGGAGAACAGCTCAGCTGCAGTCACACAGCACGGCTCCTGCTGCCCCAGCCCTCCCAGCCCTGCCTGGAACCTGCACCCAGCGCCTCTCAATGAGCTGAAGGCAAAGAGGGGCGAAAATCACCCAAGGAAACAGCAGTATCTTATCCCTGCTTCACATCCTTCTTTACTCAGCCACAATAAAACAGTTTAAATTCATTTTACCAGGCATCTACAAACGATCCTCCTTCTCCACTCAGTGGAGATTCCAACAGCAATTCAAACAACCAGTGCAGTTTCCTGGGATCTCTGCTCTCCTGAAAAGGAACAGGGAACAGAGACATAAGGAAATAGGAGATTTTTTTAAATGTAGATAATGAATAAAAAATGTATAAACAAGGAAAGTTTTGACAGACTTCCTTTATTTTCCTTGGGTTTACTCTATTAAGCAAGTGCAACAATAAATATTTTTTTTTTCACAGCAAACCTCAATAGGAGGAAAACCCAATATAATCATACACAGTTATTAATTAATTGGTACATAGAATAGACAGAATTTTAGCTTCATTTTTGATAGATACGAGTAAGTACATCTGAATTTTGCTAACGAGGGTTGTGGCTGACAAACTACACTGAGCTCTGCTGAGCGATTTGACAGAATTATTGACCCAAGGTATTTGGGGCCTATCCCTGACCCTGCTTCCCAGGAATCTAATTCCACAGCGGATCCAGCTTTACTGGACAGCAAAGGGGGCACTTACACAGGAGGTTGCAATGCAGGTGCCCCAGTCATTGTAGGTCTCCACTGTGATGTTGGATAAAGCTGTTCGGAGCAGGGGACACAGAAGCTTCCAAAGTTTTTCCACCTGTACAAAGGCAAAAGACAAGACTTTTTCTATTTAAGAAATCCAGCTCAGATATTAAAATGCCTTCTTTATTGTTTTATCAAGGAACTGATTCTCTCAGCGTTATTTTTGGCACAGAAATTCAGCAAGGTCTGGCCTAAGTAAAGTCCAAGAGGATATAAGCTCTTACTCCTACTGGAAATCACCAACCATGGCAGCTCTGCCATCTCCTCACCTGCAAACTGCTCTTGGTTTTAGTATCAAAACATTTCATTAACACCAAGTAATAACAGGCACTAAGCCAAGCTGTGAGTTGTGCTCCAAGTTTGGCAAGGAATCACCAAGTGCTGCAGCATTTTCCACTCCTCTCTTGGAACCAGGGGACACCTTAAAAGCCCCCAGCTTCATATTGTGTTAATAATTCAAAATCTCTCCGTAACTTCCAAGAATCACTCAGAAATCACCAGTTCAGCACCTTCTCAAAGGTCCAGTGCTTGGAACCCCTTATTAGCCCAGCTATGATTTCAGCCACACATCTCTGGGTGCTCTCGTGGGAGTCTGCAACCAGCTGCTCCAGGTGGGGCTGGAGAACCGGCAGAAAGGCATCATCAAAGTTCCTGAAAAGGCCCTGCAAAACAAGAGGGGAAAGTGTCCTCAGGAATCATCTACACCACCGCCCTCCCCTGAGCGACACCAGACGGTGAATCACTGAGATTTCAATATGCAGAAAGTGAAATGACTTTGCTGCTCTAACAGAATTATACCCCAGTGTCCTGCAGACTATTATATCACTCCAAATATGTTTCCCTAAGCAGTTAATCAGAAGAGAGGATTAATAGGATTACCCAGAGCAGCTTTAAAAATCAACATTTTGCAGCAGTGGGGTATAAGCCAGGCAGTCTGGGGCTTTTCCACGCTCTGCTAAATGGAAGCAATTTAGTTGTTGAACTCTGGTTACCTTGAAGAGGCAAAATCTGCGAGGATTAAATTTGTCCTTTCCTTTTCTGTCTTCTAAAGACAAAAATTTTATTAACTGCTCCACAAACTTGGGATCAGAAAAGTGATCGTATATAATTTGTTCTGCCTGTAACAGGAAGAAATAAAAAAAAAAAAAAGGATTAGCTTTGAGGTGTTTGCTTGTCACAGTGATATCCCAATCTTTCCAAGTCCCGTGTTTCACTTTCAGTCTATTTTTGGTAAAAATCACATCTTGGCCATCCATTTCCCTCCCTCCTTTTATAGGGAATATTAGGTAATGTTTTCCAAGACTCCTGATCATCTTTATTAATGACTTTAGATTGTCTTTCCTTTCACTCACAACCCCTGCAAAATTAGTCCTTCCCACTGTCATTAATGACCTTGTTCTAAACGCCGAAAATGATGTGAAAGGGCACAAGGAAGTGCTCATTAATACAGTTATTCCATGACCCCTGACAGAAAAGCTGCAACTCATCAAAATAATAATCTCTTTTCCCTTCTGACACAGTAGGAAGTAGAAAAATACAATTAAAAGTGCCTTGTGGGGATCTAGGTGTAGAGGGATCTCCACAGTGACCTGTGGGCAATATTAAAAGAAGAAAGGAAGAGAAATAGCACTAAAAAACCCCCAGAGCTGCAGCTCTTACCTCTGTCAGCTCATCCCTCCTTCGGCCAAGCTTTGGTTGGTGCTCAGCAGGAGCATAAACTGTCATGGTTCTGAAGGGGAAAAGGGAACAACTGAAACACGGTAGCACAGTCCAAAGTAAAATAAAGCTCATGGTTATTTTCTATATTCTCAATCTTTCTATATTCTCAATTAATGATAAATATTGGAGTCAGGGATAACTCAGCCCCAAAAAATCAAAACTTACAAGACAATTTACGAGAAAAGAATGAGTTTGTTATTAGAGGTTTTGCTCTACAACAGAATTATTATTATTACAAAGAGGCAAGCAGCAAAAAGGACAAGATATACGGTATTTTTTAATGGTCCAATAAAAAAAATTAAATCTCATAATAAAACACCATTTAACTTCCCAAGTGATGGTACTCACTGTGGCCAGGTGTAGTACCCCCAGTGTGTTTTCTCCACAAAACAACAGGATTCCCAAGCCTCCCTGGTCTTTGGTAAGCTCTGGCTGTTGTAGTGCAGCCACTGGTTGTCGGGTCTGTCACCAGCCTGGATCCTGGAAGGCTTCGGGCTCCCACCTGCTCCCACAGGAATTTGTTCAACATCAGGCTTGCTCATTACCAATCCCAGTCAATGTCAGTGTCATTTACTAAAAGGTTCCAAAGAGCTTTTGTGTCCCACTCCCCCAACTCTGGGCAGTGATCTGCCTCGGGGGACTGAAAGGAACACTCATGGAAGAGATCCCTCTATTAATTTATGGGATTTGAAATTATTTTAAAAAACCAAAAAGGAGATGTACGGATTCTCACAGGTGACAAGGCTTTCTGAAAGGAGAATCTCTGAAGTTTTAACTCACTTTTAAGAGGTGACTGGTCTAATATACACCCCTGCAAATGCAGGACTGTTTAAAAAAAAACAACCCAAACTGAGAAATTACCAATTATATTACCTATATAACATATACTTATTTGCTTAGGAGATTAACAGCAAAAGAAAAATTTGAAACATCTTAGGATAAATGTGAGACATTGCTTATATTAAATAAAACCTACTTATTTCGTAAGGGCAGATGGGCACTTTCTTGTGTGTTCTCTTGAGCTGCTTGAGAATCCCAGCCACAGCTGAGATGGCCACCTGAAAGGAAGAAATGGCCATTCACGCATCCATTCCATACATTTCCCCCCACAAGGATGTGGTTCATCATCCCTAAAAAGCCAGAGAATGTTGGAGTGAACTTTAATAACTTTAATATGGTTGTAATAATTTGGGGGGAGGAAAAGGTGAAGTTTCGAGCCTCACTGAGGTAACACTGAACAAATGAAACACATCGATGGCTCCCTTCAAATGATAAAAGTGCAGGTGGGAAAAGCAGCCATCTGCAGAAGAACTTCTGAAATAAATAAGGAGGACTGGTTCCATCCCACACTTTCACAGTTTACAGACTTTCCATATGTCACACTCCAGCACTGCCAAGGCTCCTCTCCCGGGACGAGGAGCGCTGCGCACGTGTGAGGCTGGAAGGGAGGAGGGGGATCCACCTCGCTGCTCGTGCTCTATCCCTGCAGCCCCCAGGGAGCTGCACAGCACAGGGAAGATATTTGGGCTTTACCTTCCTGACCACGATGGCGTCGTGGTTGAGACACTGCACGAAGAACCTGATGGCCCGGGCGGGCAGGGGCCTGTCATCCCTCAGCAGCAGGGACAGGAAGCCAATGCTGATGTGCTCGAACTTCCAGGGCCTGAAAACCCCCAGACAGTCAAAACACAGTGTAAGGACCACAGCTGCACCTACTGGGCTCGCTCAGAAAGTATTCTATGTGTTAAGATGATGTAAACACACTGGGACTAACATTTCCTGTGCCCTCCAGCGTTCTGGCCACACAAAAGTGCCAACAAACATTTGAGTTCACGGTGGTTTTTTTATCTTGGCACTTCAATGTAAAACACAGACCTACAGGGATATCCCTTCACAAGTTTTTTAACACAAATATTATGGTAAGAATTAGAATATATTTGGATGTCAGTATTAGCATTACACAGAAAGAGCCAGAGCTTTGTGCCAGGACAAAAAAAGGTGTTAAAGCCCCCAGTAACAGGCCTGACTAATTAAAGAAAAAGTTTAACTCCAAGATGTGATGATGCCTTACATTAACACATCAAGCTCCCAGTGGAAATGAATCCGAGACCATGCTAACTGCCCTCCTGGATGCCATGGATATTTAATGATGTAGCCACCCCCAACCCACCCCAAAACAACTCTAAAGCACAGAGAGGGACACTCACAGGTTTCTCTGTTCCACGCAGTCCAGCAGCTTGTTGACCAAGTTTTCATAGTTTCTGAGAGAAAGACAGGGAATCATCAGCCAGATGGTACTGAGAGAACCAGTTAAAACACAATAAAAGCTCCTCAACAACAGGTGAGCGAAGGCAAAAAGGAGGAGGCCAAAAGGAAACAGGAGGGTAGAAGCCAGAGGCTGCCAAAGGAAGGAAGGAAGGAAGGATGGATGAGCCCAGAAGACAGAGGCTGCCAAGTCAAGAGGGAAGATACAGCCCACCAACCCTTGGGCACTGTGGATTTGTCATTTTGGCCCTTTTGGAGGACTCCATTTAAGGTGCAGGAGCACAAGCTGGTGTGACGGGACACTGCACTCACCGCAGAGCCTCAGCACTCTTCTCCTTCTGTCGCTGAATTCCCAGCTGGATTTCCTCGGAACCAAGACCCGTGAAGTCTGAGTCTGGATGAACTGACTTCTGCAGCATAACAGCTGCCCCCATGCATTTCTCTGGGACCTATGGACAGGGAATGAAAAGATTTGGGACTTCAGCCTGAAAGTTTTTAATGTCTGTTTTGACACGAGCAGAGAACACAATTTCCTTGTCCACACAGCCAGCTCTGAAGTGGGGAACACAACCTTTTGTGCCCACACAGCAGAATTATTTCTCCCAGTACACGTTTTATTCTATTTTAAAATAAAGGTAAGAATAAACTTTAGTATTTCATTAGGAGTAAAAGTCGTTTATGGAATGCTTCTGTTAATTAACCCCGAGCAACCTGTCACTTACTGTGAAATCCAGCCCAATGGTTTCGTACTGCCGATGGATTTTTTCTGCAAGGTCATCGAAGAGTCTGACTATGGACGGTTTTTCCAAGGACATGGCTTTGCTAAGCCCAGAAGAGACAATGGCTGGCCATGTCTGTGCAATACAGTCCCAGTCGTGAAGGTTTGCCAAGCACACCCCGCTGTGATTTCCAAGGAGACAATATAAGGCACCCTGGGAAAGGAGAAAGGGGGTTTGGGAAGGTTAAAGCCTGGGTCCTGTGTGATAGCACAGAAAGAAAATTCATCTGCAGTTACCAACGCGCCAAAATGTCCCATGAACATTCAGCTACAAGGTCTCACTGTCAAAATACTGAAGATTTCTCACAGATTCCTCTTCATTTAATGAGATGGAAAGCCCTGCCAATTAATTTGTGCCCAGAATGGCTGATTTCTGAATTGCATTAGAGGAGATGATTCACAACTGCTCTGTGAGTGCTGCCACCCTGACTACAGCTCCTCAATTCCCAATCCAGAAGTTAAAAACAGGTGTTAACACACATTTTGGTAATACCTGAGCAAACAACGAAATCAGGAACGGATATGAACACAAAATTCCTTCCACTAGTCATGCATAAGCCATGAAAATATTAGTGATGCTGATATAAACCAGCACTTTCACCATGAAAAATTCCCCTATAAAGGCACTTTCAAGAGACACAACACAAAGTGAAGGAGCCAGTACTTTAAATTGCTTTTGGGTGACATCCTGGCGGTCGGGGCGCAGGAACTCCAGAACCAAGGGAATGATGTCTCTGCAGCAGAAGTTGTAGGTCCCCAGAGCTGTGAAGAATGCCTGCTGAGCTTTACTCCTCACCTGTGGGGACACAGACGTTACTAGGAAATCACCTAAACCAAAAAACAGGACCGAAAAAACCACCCTCACGCATTTCAGTTACTTATGCACAGAATGGATTTGTGCACAGAGACAGAATTACTCGCAGGAGGTTGTGAACACCTCACCCTTCTCAGAGCTGTTCATAAAATCCTACCTCTTGTTTCTGGCATTTACTTGAGAACAGCTACAAAGTTAAAGAGAATTCTTTGTGTTGCCAGAAACAACGTGTTTGTAATGTCATTTGAAAAGCAAACTGATAGAATAACAGGTTCAGAATGTATTTGGAATAATTGGAACAGATCAACAAAGCACTGCTTATATGTCAGTGTAAAAGGGGCTGTTCCTTACCTGACCATATGAACTCGTGGACAAACACAGAAGATCCCTGATCATCTCCTGGTGGGAAGTTTTATATTCACAGCCTTCCATCGTTAGTGTTCTCAGCTAAACTCACGCAGAACACAAAGAAAGCACAGATTGTTTTTTACATTTCACACATACAAAAGAAACACTTAGTGCAGGATTTCTGTTATGATGACATTTAGCAAACTATGCAAATCAGTTTGTCAAGGAAAGTAATTAGTAAGGATTGAGGGGGAAGAATTACCTCATGCTGCAACATAACCCTGTCAATCAGCAGAGCTCTGATATGTTGTTTCTTTCCTTGAAGCTGTAAAAAAAAAAACAAAAACCAAACCCAAACATAATTTGGTTTAGATTTCAGGATCACATCAACCACTTCAGAACTATTTCCACCCCTCAGCAAAGCTTTACACAGCAGAATCACTGACCCTGTTCTCCATCGATTTTTTCACCAGATTAAAGCTCTTCCATCGTGAGTCAAACTCGTGCTTGTGAGACCCCTGGAACTGTAGAACATCACTAATAATCTGTGGAAAGAAAGAGAGGGCAAGAGTGATTATTTTGATAAACAAGCCACCTTGCCCTAAGCATTAGAAATTAAAAGTATACCTTTATTATTAGGAACAGAGACTTGGTGTCATCTTCTGAATGATCAAGAATGTAGCCTGCAGGTGGGACAAAAGTAACTTACTAATCAGACAGGCCAAGAGCTTTAAAAATTGACAATATTTCTAACAAAGCTTAAATTTAGGAATGAAAGGTGAAGCAAAAAAAATTTCTTATCTGCAAAAATCACAAAGCACAACCCAGCAGTTTTTAGCTAGAGGAGAGACCGAACTTACGCAGCAATTTCCTTGTAACCCTTGCAATTGTTTCTCGGTAATTCTCCCTCGAGAAATCTGGAAGAAAATGAAACATTTCGTCTTTGTTATATGATAACTTGAAAAGCAGTTTATAGGTAAGTAAACCAAGGGAAAGCCAGAGCGGACTATGCAGAACTGGCAGTGTGGACCATTGTAAAAATAATATATTTGAGGACACTGCTCTCATCACTTTTAACAACGTCCATGTAAGACAAAGAGAAGAATCAAAATCATGGTCTCCAAAAGAACCCACTGCTTTTACAGCAGAAAAAGGAAGAAAGAAAGAAAACAACACTTAGAACCTGCCTGACCAGAATTAGGATTTACTTACCATAGTCAACACCAGTGTACAGTTTTGTCTCTTCCAAAGACACCAGACTTGGGACCCTGCATGAGAACAAACCAAGGATTAGAAATCACTGAGAAGGTGCATTTCACTGCCATTTAATTCATTTGAACAAGTTAAATTTAAAGTTAGCAGCCCAAAGATACTTGGATTTACTAATAATACATCTCAGTTCTCATATTTATGAATTAACCATCCCTATGTGGGTCAGGTTGTTTGTCAGCAGCAGAGACAGCTTAGGGACATATATGGGATATACAAATAATATATAGAGAGATAAATAAAAATTATATAAAAATAATGGCATATGGCATATCAAAATAAGTTTTACTTACAGATGAGCCACCCTTTCTCCTTTCAGAGGAGGCAGAATGTTCCCAGAGCCAATGAGGCAGTTATGCACAATGGCAAGACTCTGCTGCACATCATCTCTTAAACAAAGAGGAAAACCCGGTTACTTATCTGTTAAATCCTTGCAAACACACAGATGATGAACTGTATCTTTTTTGTGAGGTTTTCTGAAAGCTTTTCTCTTTAGTTACATCAGTTTCAAACACAGGAGGGAGCACTGTAGAAATCAAGCTGTGCTTGCGTGATCCGACTTAATTCTATTACAGAACCACAAGATTTAACTTCATTTTCTGAAAAACTTGGGAGATTTCACATTTTGAAGCTGTGCAGATAATGAGATCATCTAATGTGAAAACAGCTTTGCTCCAACCAAATTTCTTTGAAAAATTTTATCTAAATCTCAGACAAAACCTATGAAGTAACTCCTCACTCCAAGGTTGCAGCAATTCCTTCTCAGCATGGGGAGGGTGAGGGAACACTTTGTGAGTGACTATTTTACAGTCTGAAGGTAAACTACAATGCAACAATACAGTTTCTGTGTTCATTCAGAGAATCAAGGAATTCCTCTTAAACCTATCTCAGCTAGAGCAGGAGCTTCTATTTTTGGTAAGTTGGTCAGACAGAAAAACAAGCCGGAATGTGACACAGCATTCCCTGCTGGGCAGCACGAGGGAGAGCCCCACGTGACTGAATATCAGCTGAGGTATATTTAGCTGCAAGGACACGGGGAGGGTGACATGAGGACTAAACAATGCTTGAGAGGTCATGCCTGTAAACATCCTGTGCTCTTTGACACCTGTAAGTGCCTCGGCACACATTGCACCCGTGATGGTCTCCCGCTCGCCCCAGGCACAGCTTCACACTCAGTGTCCCTGCCTCTGACCTCCCTGACTCAGCTCCAGCCCTGCAGGGACACACCAGGCACCGAGGCCAGCTGTTCTCAGGGAGGAAGAGGCAAAAGGCACATCCCCAAGCCACAGCACTGGTGTGTTCCACTGCACGGCTGAGGAACACAAATGGCTGTGCCAAAGCAACAAGGGAAGAGTCCCGAGGAAGAATTCCCTTAGTGCTGCCTGCAGCTCAATGAATCGGCATCTGGGGTTGCTAAAAAGACACTTCTGTCCCAGAATTTGCTTTAAATAAATACCTAGGTAAAGTGCCTATATGTTTATTACTGCTTAAAATCATGATATCCATTTCATGAAATGCACTTCCAAGCTCCACATGTTCTTAAGTTAAAAACCTTGGAAATCTTAGAATAGTGTTAAAGACAGTGTAGCATTACAGTATTTGACTCCTTAATTTCTGTAGTGCCAGCGTGAACAGCAATAATTCCTGTGGGTGGCTAAATGCACCTCCTCCATCTCCCCTGTCAGCACTCACCTGGACATCTCCAGTTCTCCAAGGGCATAGAGCTCCAGCCTGGTGAGCTCAGGCTGCAGGAAAGTATCCAGCAAATAAAAAGCAAAGTCTATTTCCTCAGACGAGGGAACATGCCACTGGATATCCAAGTTCCACAGGTCACCTGGTTTACCCCAGTCCTACAGTAAATACAGACATTTATTATTATTCCATCTAAGAAACAATTTTTTTTTTAAATTAGCATTTAATATTACTGAAGAAAAACCCACCCCAAAATGTGAACTAGTTAATTCTGTAACACAGTTATCCTGACAATACCAGGGAAAACAACACCATAAAACCACACAGAAATCCCCAACCTCTATAATATCTACACATACCTGGAAGAAAAAAAATCATATTTGAAAGCACTAAAAGGAAAAGGACTGCACAGGTCTAGCTGAAATATGACTTGATTACTCCTTTGACTGGATACAAATTCAGACACATTTTTAAGTACAACTCAGACTTTTGAGAGTCCCTTAGAGAACATCAAAGTTAATTGTGAATTTTTTCAATTTCAGACGAGGAATTTAAAAAATATGTGGGGATTTTTGTTTGTTTGTTTGTTTTGCTTTGTGTTGGGGCACTCAAGGTATTTTTGTTTCTTTTGAAACTATTACCTGGCCCAACTAGATGTTCCCAGCAGTTATAGAACTGCACTGGCTTTCAGAAATGAGTACTGGATTATCTGCAGTCGGGAAGTTATGCAAAAGAACATTTTTCAGCAAAATCCAGTAGTATTTTCAAACAGGCCAGCTGGAAACTGCTGCACTGTTCATGAGGAACACTGACAGATCGACCTCAAATCTTAGCAGCCAGCCAGCACATGACTTGTGACAGTCTCAGTCACTTTGAATAATTGCCACTTCTGCTTCCACTGATCTCCAGCTCAGCAGAACCCCTGTTTCCTGGTTATTCTGCTGCCCTGTAAAATGCCCCATCTCCTCGCTGTGTGCTATTGCAGTCATGCAACCCCCATAAAACACAAATCACAACCCACTACAAAACTACTCAAACAACAGTCAGCACTCATTTCTTGCTACCAACATCATTTTAATTAACGTGCCACTTGCTCTGTGTTTCAAAGCATCTTGCAATCACACTTTCCTGCCTCTGTTCAGAAACCTCCAAACAAAACCGAGCCACACAGTGTATGATTGGTTAAAAAAAAAAAAAAAAGTCAAATCCTCTAATCCTAAATAAATGAAAATCCTTGCCTTGATAGGAAAGTATTCAGAAAGAGGCTTGTCAAAGCCACCTGGCACACTGCAGTACTCTGTGGGGTAGATAAGTGTAGCAGAACGAAGAAGGTGGTGCAGTAGGTTACAAGACAGAATGTAACCCTGCTTACAGGTTAAGTGGAGGGTGCGCTGCAGTATCTTCCCAAACTGCTCCCTGTACACAAGCAGCTGCTTTCCATCCACACGAGTGATCTGGGAGGGGAGAGGAACACAGCAAACCATCAGTTCTGTTGGAGGGCTCAGCCCAGCCTGGGCTACTCCCTGGGTCACACTGAATTCAGCTGAAATTGTGCAGGAGCTGCCACTGCCACGGCTGTTGACAAGTTTAAGTGACACAGAAGGGACTGTGACACCCATCTGCTCAAAATCTCCTAGCAATACTCATACACATTTAAAAATTAATTTAAAAATACTTATATCTATCAAAAGCATCTTATGTTTTTCCCTGCATCAATCCCCCTTCTTTCTCTCTCCCTCAATAATTGTATTAAACGCTTTCATTTCATTCCACTGGATTTTCTTCAAGCAACAGCCACCCCTGTCCCATTTAAAGTTAGAAACAGAAGCTGTGCAGTGCCGTTCATACAACATTTACTTTGGGTAACTGGAATTTTTTCTTCTTCTTTCAGGGGCATTAGAGAGGACGCAGTGACACACAAGGTTCTTTGCAATACCTCTGACAAAAGCTGAAGATTCCAAAGCAGCTCCTTATCTAGTTCTTCATCACGTAACACATCATCATCTAGAGGAACAAGGGACAAGCTCTGCTGTAACCACACTGTGGCCAACTTTTCCAAACAAGACACCAGATCCTTCCACCCCAAAAGCTGACTCCCAACCCTCCCACCGCACCCTCCCAACTCCCACCGCCCCCATGTCCAGCTGGAAGTCACTTTAGCCAGCCTAACATCTTGCAGTTGAGCAATGTCTGGAGACATTTCGAACTGCCACATTTTTAAGGAATCACGGCCCTGCAGCCTGACAGATTTCTGCCTTGAAATCACACAGTGGTTTGGTTTTTATTGATGAAATACTGCAGTTCTCCATCGTTGGAACGAAGTTGGGGGAAAACACAGCAAAGTTTTAGGTGCTCTTTCCACGTTTAAGGACAGTCAGCCCAAGAGCAAGCAACAGTAGAAACGTGATGGACTTACTGACTGTGAGGTGAGTTATAACGTTGCAGCAGTGGGGCACAAACAGCTTCAGGGACTCCTCGGGGCGGCACTGCAAACAGCACCACACACAGCCCGGGTTAGAACCACAGGCAGCTCGGCACACACTGACACAAATCTCACAATATCACCAAGAAACAGAGAAGACTAAACTGCATCTCAGCTCCAACTCAATCTACAGGCAGCCTGACTTCATGACTGTCACTCAATAAAACCCAAATTTAACACAAATGCAAAACAAAAATACTGTGTGAATTAACCCCTTGAAATCCTCCTGTGTGCAACCAGCCAATTTCAGAAGATGGAACATTAAGAACCACCTGTATTTACGTGAAAAAAATCAAGATATTACACAGGGAAAAGTAGCAGCACTGGCTTTTTTCCTTTTTAAGCTGGAGTGGATTTAGAGCATGTTCTCTCACTTTCACTGCAGCTCGGCACATGTCGGCGACCATTCGACCAGCAACTCTCGTCTCAAATATATTTGAAACAGCAAAGTTAAAAACCTTCTCCAAGGCAACCTGAAAATGAGCACAAAGACAGGGAGGTCAGGTTGTTTTTTTTTTCAAAAGGAAAACTAGGTATCCAGAAACGTTTGATGTCACACAGGAGGCAGCATCTGTACATAACCTGGTGTCCTTCTAAAACAGAAGGCTGCAAGCAGGAAGCACGTGACAAACAATCAGAAAGCAGCTCTGTGGAGTGCCTAAAATATTCCCTTTGGGAAGAGAGGAGGTGGATAAACCTTGTTGACTAATGTAGGTTTAGGGTGCTTCTGAGAAACTACACAGAAGAATTTTTCCCTGAATAAATCAGTCCCCAAAAGGAAAAGTGCTATTTCATGAGTCACAGGGAAGGAAAGTCAAGACATCTCCCTTACTTAACAAATAAATAGGGAATCAAATTAACAACTATTGAAGTACCCAGTGTGTTTTAAAGTAGCTTATTTCCATCCAATACCTTGCAAGGTAAGCTGAATTATAGACAGTGTGGAGCCCATGAATACCTTAATAATGAACAATCAGGGAAAATACAAATTAAATACTTAAGGACGGTGCAGAATTAACTGAAGGTTTACATTAACCAGAGGATTCCAAACAAAAATCATACCAAAGTACCCAGTGCAGTGGTTCAAGGTGTACAAAACGTGGCATCTCCAAAAAAAAAAAATTATATATATATTTATATAAGCAGATATAAATGTGTTAACCCAAGCTACAGTGAAAGAACCTGCCCACGTAACAATGCGGATTCCCCACCCCCTCTGAGTTATTTTCATCCAGATAACTTTCCTGATCCCATTATCCAACAGCTCCTTGAACAGCTTCTTTTGCCCAGCTGAGGAAGTGGGGGTAGAAAAGGAAAGCAGGGGATTAGGTAGGTCAGCAATGATCAGGACATGAAAAATCACAACCTGACCCCACAGAGGGACAAAATAAGCTCTTGGAACGACTTCGCCATCAGTTTGCAAGAGAGCACAAAGAGCCCAAGAGCTCTGGACTGATGCATGTAAGTAAACTTCTCCTGTCCCCCCAGCTCTCTCCCTGGTCAAATGTGGAAGTTCACAATGGGAAGAATCCAAACACCCCAGTTGTTCAGGACACAAAATTAAGCTGCTTCAGTCAGATGGAAAGCCCACGTTCTACTTACCTTAAAGATGTCCTTTGAACACTGAGTAAGGATTGTACTGAAAGTAGAAGAGAGTCCCAGTTCCACCAGACTCTCCAGGTGAGTCATTTTCTCAGTCTCAGTCTCCTCTCTGGTTTGTTCTAGCGTGCTGCTCTCTATAAGGCCAAAGCACCTACAAAATGCAGAACAGTGTTAGCAAGTGAAACTTGGAAGTCTGTAATCGAGTTCTTCATGCCAAGCTTTCCCCTCTCCTCAGCTCACTTACCTATCCATAAACTGCAGCACAAAATCCTCAAATTCAGCAGATGCAGAGCACAGCTCCCTTTCCACCTGTAGAAGAAACACAAGAGGTTGTGTTTTCTCCAGGAAACGCAACACAAAACGTATTTCCTACGTGAACTACTTCAACATCACTTCCAGTGTCTAAGTGAGAACAGACCACAGCACACTCCCCATTGCACAGACTGGAGGACACTCCATGAGACAATTATTGCACATTCCTTGCACTGTCCTGTCCCAACTTCCTGGCCTGGATGACTATCCAAGGAACCTCTGTGGTGAAATCAGGTCTGCCTCCATGGATACAACCTCTGGCCTTGCTCCTGATCCTCCCTGGCAGCAGGAGCTCAGGGAGGTGGGCACAGACCTGGCTCTGCTCACCTGCACTCACATTAAACCCTCAGGGTACAAACCCCTGTGGATTTCTGAGTGCTGCAGCCCTGGGGCAATGAAATCCCCCTTCTGCTCTGGGCAAACTGCAGCTACTGGTGCTCTCTGAGCTACAGAAAGTCTTCTGGAAGCAAACAGGTGTGGTGATAAGGGGGATAAGACTCACTGTCTAATGGTGTTACTACCTCTTGGCTGAAGAGGATTAAAAAGCATCTGAAGAGAAAGTAACAGAATCTCAGTCAGGAAAGGGAAGAGAAACAGGTGTTTATTTAAAGAGGAAAACAGCTCTGAAAAATGAAGAAAACAATCCTAAAGCACTATTTAAAAAACTATCACGTTGGGGTTTTTTTGTGTTGTTTTGTGTTTCGTGGTGACAAGAACTTTCAAAAAATTAAGAGTAGTAAAGCTATTTTAATACAAAAATTTACATGGCAAGTGAGCCCTGGAGACAACACAATCCAACCTCCTGCCCAAAGCAGGGAAAGCTTGGAGTCAAACAACACTACCCAGGGCCCTTCAGCAACTAAGTTTTGACATTTAAATGTTTAATTGCTTGAATTTCACATTCTCTACAACAAGAAATGCTTAGAACACACGATTTGCACACTGCTATCAGCTCTACCACGCTGCCCAGCAGCAAACAGGATTCACATCTCATCATACACTGCCAGAAATTCAACTGAAAACTGAGTGATAGCTTTGCCTTCACAACTCACCTCTGAAAGATCATCTCTCTCTTGCAATACAGATGAACAGTCTACTAAAGGCACCAAAGTAGAAAACGTTGCAATGAACTGGAATGTAATCTGTTGGGAGTTGCAAACAGCTCTTCAGTCAGTTGTATTCTACACATCAAAAAGCTTTTGCAATTTATAGGAGCTAAAGCAAATCGTACTAAAAACAAAAAAAAACCTCCAGAGCCCAAGTCTTACACCCCAAAACTTCAACAGTTATTTCAGATTTCATAGATAGAACTTCCTAGTCATCACTGTTCAAAAATTCCCAGTTTTCTAAGTAAAGAAACTATTATTTTGTGCTGAACTTTAAAGTTACAAACCCCTATAATGCTGAAATTGTTTTAAGTAAATTCATATGAATTCCTGAAGGTGTGGACTTTCAGAACCTAATGTAATGAAAACCCAATTATAAAGGTCTTTCTTTTGATGTTAGAGGACTAGGAATATCTGCTAGGAGCTCTGGAGCACCTGTTTAATCTTGTTGTGCAGAGCTGCCCAGAAAGTCAGTACAGTGCTTATCACAATCACTTTGCACTGTTCAGTGAGCTAGAAGCATTATCCTAAATTAGAGGGCTGTAATATTAAATTTTTACTATAAAAAGGCTAAGAAATTCTGGCCACATGAGCTACCTGCTTTCGCAGAAACGTAAGAATTTTTCTCCATAAAATACAATAAAATATTAGGTGGGTGGCTCACGATCTTCTGAAGACAGGAGCTATTTCCCCACTCACCATGCACTTGCTGAAGTCGTTGGGATCCACCCCGGGCAGGGCTCTCATCAGCAGAGGTAGCATGTGAGTTGGACCTTCAGGAAACCACCTCCCCCCGCACACCAGGCTGCGAGCCACCCCGATGACACAGCTCAGGGTGGCTGTCAGCTGATGGGGCTCCGTCAGGGTCTCCAGAGCAGGGTATGTCCTGTAAAATCAAGGACAGCCATGTTAGGAACAATAATGTTCCAAAGAAAATAGAAGTGGACTGCACATGTTTTCTGCAGAAAGGGTAAAAAAAACCAAATCCTGCACGAAAAAATTCAAGCTCATCAAGGGCTCTAAAATGGTTTTCTCAGCATTTTTCCATGGACTTTAAACTGATCTGTTCCCATGTTCCCTCCATTTGATCAGTGCTATCCACCAGCAATCCAGGATTGAATAATCACTGCATGGACTCCTCCATTCAAAGCTACAATGACTTGCCTTGAAGGGCACAGCTTGCACTTTAGGCAAGGGCAGGGTTCTCGAGGCAAGCATGGAAATGTGCCTTGGTTGTCTCTGAATAGACAGGGGATCTCTTACTTCATGGTATATCGAAGTCCAGACCTTTTTACCAAAACCTGTGAGGCTACTGTGATTGATAAACATTTTTTTTTGTTTACACTCAATACTTCTCAGCAAACTGCAACACTTCCTACTGTCCCCAAGAACCCACAGTTCAGACAAGAGTCAGAGTGCTACCCCTGCCCTACGTCATCCAAAGCACAGCTCAGCCAAGTGGATGTGGGACTGCAGCCAAGGCAAACATTCCAGGGATGGTTTGAACTGCAGGGCAGACGTGGAGGCTGCTCTCAAAACAGAAAGAGCAGCCATACCCGGCACTGCTGCCCTTCCTGGAACTGCTGTGCCTGAAATGGCTCGGGCAAGAGCAGATTTAGCAAGTTTTTACAAACAGTTGAGTCAGTGAGGTGAGGAACACAGGAAGTGCTCTTCAGTCAAGCTCCTTTCTCCACTGGTTTTAAAATACATGTTGCTAAAGCACAAAACACTGCCCAGGGAACGTGGATAGGGCCTGGGAGGAAAGCTTTTCACTGGAGTAGGAAAGAGCCACACTTCTCTTTGAAAATTTCAGGCACCAAGCACTAGAAACAGTGCAAGCTAAGTGTATCACAGGAGCACATATCTGGTGATTTGCTTATGAAGTCAGAGCCATGACAGCAATTTTAAACAACCTGTAACTGGAATGTACCCTGAACGAAACAGAAATATAAAATATGTTTATTGCTCCACAACCCTCACGTGTATCTGGCCCAACTGAAATCCAGAGAGAACATACCAGGTGTCTTATGAATAAAGGGTTGCTTTTTCAACTGATCCACCCACTATCTGACACAAAATGCTAACAGAAATGCACAGCACCTGAGCACTGACTACCCTAAATCACAGGAGCTGTCCACAGCTCTAGTTCTCCAGAACTAGCCCATTTGCCCCAAAACAAATCAAATCAATTAAAATGAAAATTAAAGTCCTCCTCTGCTCTTACCTCTCAAGCACAGGTGGAATTACTAACTCAGGGCGCATCAGGGCCAGGTTCTGCAGGGCCTGGGCAGCCTCCAGGCTCCCCGTTTTACTGAACATGGCCAGGAGAACAGGCTGGATGATGCACTGCACAAAGTCCGTCACGTCCTGGTCCGTGAGCTTGTGGCTCTCGGGCACGGGAGTCAACCAGGTGGCCTTCTTGTAGCGCTCGCGGTGCAGCCTCCTCACCACACCACTGGGCAGCCTCTGCAGCAGCTTCATCAGCTTGTTCTGCCAACAGACAAGAAATGCTGGGCACTGGCTTGGCAGCAGCAGGATCTGAGCTCCTCAGTGCACAAGAGACAACCAACAACCCAAAGTCTTGGAGTTACATCCCCACAATCCAGCAGAACTCGCAAGAGCTCTAAAACACAATGTTCACCGTTTGTCACTAAACTTCATCGCTCAAAATATCAGTAATTATGCTGCCAGCACTGTGCCCTAGGATTAAACAAGAAAATTCAGGAAAAACACATGGAAAGGACATAGTCAAGAATCCAGATTGTTTACCAGTAATTAGGGCATCTTTGAGGGCATTCTCTGCACATTCGTGTGTAGGCAAATATAAGTCAGCTCCTCTGGCACTGCTGTGACCAGCCTTGCTGTTTTCTTCTCTACTTTCTACTAGCTATCACAGGGAGATTCTTCCATTCTCTAGTAGAAGACTCCACTAGTTACACCATCAAAAAGTTATGCTTCGAAGCAGAGATGCATTAAAAATGCTTTGTTTAATGGAATCACAGAATTGTTTGGTGGGAAGGGACCTTAAAGCCCATGCAGTTCCAGCCCCTGCCATGGGCAGGGACACTCCCACTAGACCAGGTCACTGCAAGCCCCATTCTAGGTTTTGTTGCCTTGGAGACAGCAGGTCAGTCACACAAAAGCTACCCCACAGCAGTAATGCTGGTGCTGTGCATCACCCCCTTTTTGAGTGCTGACTTCTGTTCCTGGCTATATATGAATTGGGGGTGTTGTTTTGGACTTCCAAGCTGCACCTGGGCGAGATGTTTGGAGAATACTCCCGTGTCAGCTGTGGTGCTGGCATGAAATAAGAGCATGGTCTGAGCGACAGTGCAGTCACAGAGACCTGAATTCTCAAGATGCAAGCAGCACACAGCACCACAGTCTGGCTGCTGGAGCACACGGGGCATTGACCAACAGGTCTGACAGGCTGAAATTAGAGCCAGTTCTTGTGGTAGCACACAGACACTCACCAGCCAGCGCCCGTTGTTGGAGGGATGGTAGAAAGAGGCAATGCTATTGAACAGGCCAGACAAGTGCTTCTGCACCAGCTTACTTGGGCCACCCTGCAAGAAACAAACCACAGCATTTTGTGGCACAGAACAAGGTAAAACGAACAGGCAGCAGTACACAAAGTGCAAGTAGAACATTCTCCCCACGGCAAGACCTCAAAGAAAGCATCAAATCCCATCCCACCCTCAGCTCAGCACTAACAGCAAGTTCTCTCCATCCCATCTGCTGAGGTTCACCCTAAAAGAGGATTCAGGGGGTTCAGCAGGTCCCCAGTGTGTCCCAACAGTGGCATTTGCAGCTGTGAAATAACCACTTCCACCTCCATTCCATGCTGACAGTGGAATGATGTACTTGGAAACAAAACTTGGGGAAAAAAGCCTAAACCCACTCCTTTGCAGTGAGCTCAACATTACAGACATCCATCTTAAGAACATGCTTCTGGCTTTGCATGGGTCTGTGGTTCCCTTTATGAAGAAGTCACTCACCATCATGGCTGTGATCCACATGACTGCATGTCCTACATCGTAAGCGTTTGTCAAGAACCTCGGAACAACCACCTGATTGCTCCCCACTGGAAGATTCAAACTCCTCAGAATCCTAGTAAAAATCTGAGAAGCAGGAAAACAAGCATTGGCATAAATTAATTTATGCCATCAAGTCGGCATAAAATTAATTTTCTAATCAAAAGGTGCTTGGTGGGTTTGGCTTTTTAAAGTCATGTAAGTACCATAAATATGTTTGGTTTTTTTTTAAATAAATCTACAAGCTCAAAGATTCCAAAGGTCATATCTATTATTAATCACAAGAATATGAAAGAATATGACTAAGGTCCTTCCCAGAAGAACATGGGGTTAATTATACAATCAGACAGCATTTGTACAGTCAGGATTGTTGCTGGTTTGGCTCAGCCAGGTGACAACAGTAACAGCTTCCAGTGTGCCTCTTCCAAAAGGATGGCTCCATTTTTCACAGTTAAACACAAATGGATGCACCCAATTTGAAAAACTGGGCCAGTGCAGTGTAAAACCCACACAAGGAGTCTGAATTATTCCTGGCATGGGAACACTGAAGCCTTATCTCTAAGCAAGCAAAGCCATCTCCTGAAGTGAGAGCTCTTACCTTTGGAACATACGGATCCCAGTCTATGTACCCGATGTTGTCTGTGGCCAGGCGAGCAAAGAGGTTCACCAGATGCTGAAAACCACCAGAAAAACAGGGAATGTTCATTAGAATGTACAGGTAATAATGTATCTGCTTCAGCTACGCAAGATAAAAGCTCCCCCAGGCGCTAAAGCACTTGCAAATGGAGATTTCGCTCCAGGAGAATCAGCACTGCCCTAAAATAGCTCCTGTACACAGACATGGCAGAAAATCCCACCAAGGCCTCTGTTTAGCCTTCCCCAATATTGAGCTATTTAGGGCCATTTAAGCTCTGCAGGATCCATCCTAATCAACGTGTGCTGGCTGTCACATTCGTGTGCTTTGGTTTAAACACATCTGTGGCTTGCAAAGGTCACAGGCATCAGCTGTCAGCTTCTGTCCAGGGAGAATTAGGCACTCCATCACCAGCAGACAGTCCCCTGAATCCAAGGGAACTGAAAGATGTCCTCAGGGAAGAGAATTATCATGGCTAAATCAGAAAGGAGATGAAGTCTCACTCTTCTGATCGTGGAAAAAGCACATCAACCAGCAACTCTCCTCGAAGGAGCTTGTCCAAATCAGGACATACCAATCAGGCTCTTGGTGCCTCTTCCAGGATCTTGAAGCCAAAAGGAAGGGCTTGAAAGAATCCTGCCTAATTCAGAGACACACAGGCACAGAGGGACAGTTCACTTCTCTGTCTGCAGGGCACAACAAGCTTTGGAAAACCCCAGAAGCCACACCTGACACAGCCTGAATCAAGGGTTCCATTTTCTCCACCTTCTTGGCTTGGTATGAGGAAATACCCACTGACAAACTGCCTGCTGTGTACACAGATAATTGATTCCACAGCTCCCCTTCAAACAGCCAGTGGAATTCCTGCCACAGCAAGCTGAGGAGAAGCTTGCAGCACACAGAGGCTTAAATGGGATTGCAGAGTCAGAGCCTGCATGTCTAATTATCTGCATCCCAGCCTGGTGACATGAACAAGCCTGACTTTGGGAAGTGGGCAAGACAGCAAAGGAAACAAGAAGTGAAAGTTTAGGGGGAAAAAAGCAGGGAAACTGTCAGAATCCAGTTATCTGAAAGAGGGCCGAGGATTATTTGTTAAACTGTTTGACAGAAACAAACCAAATCACAATATTAAAGTGCAGGCTGTCATTGTCCTGTCAGAAACAGAAATAGGATTTCTGGGGGGGAATGGCCATGAGGAAGGTGCAAAAGTGTATACAGACACTATCAAATAGAGTTTTGGCATCACCCACGTTCAAATGTGGCCAACTGCCAACTGTTGGGACCTGGACTGCCTCCCTGGATTTGTGATGAAACAAAACTGGAGCCAAAACCACCTGCGGGATGTGGGACAAAGGCAGCGTTCAGTGGTGCTTTGGGAATCAGCTTCCTCCACAGACACGGAGGACTCCCCTGGTGGAGATGGGCAGGAGATTAGCAGCAGCAGCCAGATGGTCAATGAGCTTATGTTCATACTGAGTATGGGAAAAAAAGCTGGTGATAGGCCAAGTTTCACTGCAGCACAGCCCAGCTCACACCCACAGCACCTGAGCTGCGGCTGGGGGGCTCAGCAGGGAGCTGCTCGGGCCTCAGGGTTGCATCTGATCCTGTGAGACACAGCAAGGGCACACAGGTACATGGCACACTGTCTGCCTTGGAAGATACAGCCCAAGGGAATTTCTGGCCATGGGGAGTGCAGGTTCTTTACTGTGTCCCAAATAAAGACGACAACAACTCACTGCAGCGAGGGTAAAACATCATCACTCAAAATGAGGGACCACTGACGTGTTAAGATAAAGGCAGGACAGAATCGTAATTTATAGAAACCACAACAGCACTTTGAACAATTCCAAGTATGAGCAGCAGCATTCCCAAGGCTGGAAAGAAAAGCCAGTCTGAGCTAGCCATTAAATAATGTTCATCAAGCACAACTGCAGTCTCATTTATTCAGACAGTAATTGCTTGCTACCAACAATGAAATTATTGTCTCTGTTTTCTTGTACTAGTTAATGCAGAAGGGAAAAAAATCCATTATATGACTGTTTGGCTTCAATTCCTTGCAGGCACACTGTAGGAATATTTAAATGAGGGTTTCTTCTGGTGTAGGTGAAAAGCAAATACTTACCCCTTCCCACTGGGGAAGATTTTGAACTGACACCCAAAGGCCTATAAATTCATCAAACCAAAGCCTGAAAGAGAACAAAATCAAAATAATTTAACACTGAGAAAGCAGCTCCCTCACTCAAAGTTTACCCCTCACTTTGCCAGGCTGCAGGAACTCACCTGTCCCTCAACTCATGCAGCAAGGACAGGGATCAACACGGAATGCTTGTATCACTCTGCCTGCCACAGCATCTCCCCACCCCAGCTCTGACCCTGAGTTTCAGTCCTTGCCTTTTTTTTTTTTACCTTCTCCTCCTCTTGGTCTGTTTTGATCCCCCTTTCACACAAGAGTGCTTTACCAGAAGCTTCCTGACCCACCTCAGCTTCACCATTCCATCACACATCCACATCCCAACCCAGGGAAACCAGGTGAGAACAACCCACACCTCATTTCCCTCTGCCTCACGCCCTGAAATTCGCCCCTGGTGACCCATGGGCACGAGTGGCATCATCTCCTCCTCTGAGCTCCCCTGAGGCTGAGGAGCAAACCCTCCCCACTCACACTGCCCTTTCCAGAGCGCATTCCCTCCCCTCCTGCCCTGTGATCCCTGCGTGCAGCCCCACACACACAGCCCTTCTGATGGCTCAGAGAGAACCCCTGTGGTGCCTGCAGGCGCCCTGACACCCACCTGAAGCCCTTGTGGTGCAGCTCAGGGGGGAGGGTGGTGGGCAGGAAGAGTTCGAAGTAGGTGATTGCCTTCTGCATGGTCACATCAAAGGGACACATCAAAGGCCTCCACTCATCCAGCATCTCCCCAGTGGCGTCTTCTGGGAAATACCTGGAAACCGGTGAACACACACGGACTTGGCTTTAAAGTTTGGGTCTTTTTTTTTTAGACATAATGAAAACCAGCTACTAATTTGACATAAATGCCAGTTTTCCAGGAAAACCACGTGCCCAGGGGCCACTGCAGGCAGCCCTCAACTCCACAGAGCCCTCACAGAACAGAGGCAAATCAAGCACATCGTGGTGCATCATATTAAGAACACAAATTGAAGGGTTCTTGGCTTGTTGGACCAGAAAAGAATCTGTACAATGCAAAACCACTCCACTGTGAAGGCTGGACAAAAATCCAGCAGCTACTATTCACATTATTAAAAAGATCACCTAAGGCACAAGGATCATTTACAGAAACATCACAAGAATGCTGGTTATTAAATTATGGTTAAACCAAAGTAAATACCTATGCAGTGCAGTATTTTAAATGCACAGCAGATACAGCTGATTATACAACATCATTATTGCAGCCAAGGCTACTAAAAAGCTAAAAAAAGTACCCCAGGAAAGTCTCTACCCTCCACCCCAAACTTTTAAACGTGAGGGGGCAACACCAGCCAAACAATGAGAGGTAAAATGGAGAGGGGTTTTTGTGTTTTGGGTTTTTTTAAACGTTTTTCTTGCCCCTCTTAAGGTAAGATCAGAGATATTAACCATGGCACAAACACTTACGGCCTGCAGCTCTTCACAAGGGTTTTCAGGACACTTTCTACAGAACTGAAAGCAGAAAGGAGACATTAGGAATAATAAATGACCGAATTTCAGTGACAACATAAAGCAAACAGCCCTTTGCTGACCTCTCCCTCGAGAGCTTAAGATAATGTTGATGCAATTAACTGTCTTCTGTGAACATGCAGCAGCTAATTCCCTTCCACACAGACCTAACCACTGCACTTAAAACTGCTCTGCTCGGCTCCTGGTTCTGCTTTTCACGTTCTACTCTGGCATTTCCTGCTTTGAAGTGAAGAATTATTATCATTTCTTGTGAGTAACCTCCTGCACTTTATCCATGAACAATCAGCAGAACAAAGTCACTTCTTGGGGAAGTTGAAAACACAAATGGAAAAACGGGCTTATGGACTTCATGAGCCAGATAAATAAAGGCAACAGACTTTGGGAGGTTGTTATTTTTCGGCTCCAAACATCATATCTGACCTTTGCAATGTGGTTTTGGTTTTTGCCCAGTGGTTCTAAGAAGGAGAAGTGAACTGTCTGCAAACCGAGGGTTATTTCAGTCGGCTCCCTCCCAAGTAGCAGCTGATTTTAGAAGTGTTTTCGTCCACAGCAAGAACATTATTTGAGAGATCATTTCAACACACATTGTCACGGGATGCCACCAAAGCACTGAAGGACTAAATCTCAGAATAATCAAGAATAAAATGGGGGGAGCAGAGAGATCAACCAGTGGAACCATAAAGGTAATAAGTGATCACATTCCTCAGATCTTCCATTTATCACACAGCCACCTCAGGATTAAACTGCACTTTTATACAAAAACATTCCCTGAATGAAAAAATTAAAGTTCTGGGGAAGAACTTCCTACATCTTTTAGATATGCTTTCTGTACTCTGAACAGAAATACTGCATCCTTTATTCAGCACCCAAAACATACAGAAAGGTCACTTTACTCAGAAAAAGATGATGCAAATGTATCATCTTTACTACCAAAGATCAATTAACTTTGAGACACACCAACCCTGAGCATGCACACACTGCCTCTCCAGTCCTACACAAAATACAGTAATCCCACCCAAGCCAGGAGAAATTAAATATGGAGAAACCACTCTTTCAGTGCAAGCCAGCAAAAGCCCAGCCAGCCCTCAGAGCACTACTCCACTCCCAGCAGAGCTCTAGGAGATGCAAAATTAGGGATAGTTTAGGCAACAGTCAGTCAAGACCTCTACCAGAAAGAAAATTTTGAGCTGACTGATAAAATTTGGAGAGGAATGACCAACCATTCATTACACAAAAATCAGATCAAACTCTGCAGGAGGCTCAGGAAAATTCTGGGTTCAAGTGAATATTGTCATTGAACAAGTTAGAAAACAGGTAACAGTTGTTCCAAGAGTAGATAAATAAAGCATGAACCAGCAACATTCCTTATGAGCATCAAAGATGAGCCTGATAAATGTTTGTGTGACAAAACAAACAAGCTCTGCCCATATCAGCCACACTCCCCTCGAGTGTCATGAAGGAAAACCTGAAGGAGCGGAATTTTACTAAACACAGAGGCCAGAGGTCAAGTTTTCAGTCAGATCTCAGCACCTGCCAGTGTGAGAGAGCGAAGGGGAAAGATTGGGATGTCCCCTCCTGGCTTCTGATCCCCAGTTTAGGAAGGCAGGAAATAAAAAACAACAGCAAGACGACTTTGTACCCAAGGAACCTCCCCCCAAGAGACAGTCCAAGTACAGCCCACCCAGAGGAGACGTCCTGTACTGTTCCCAGCTGGTGACTGCGAGTGAGGAGAGGACAGGACAGCACAGCTGGGGAGACTATTAAAAAACACCCAACAGCACCCTGAAGCCCTGCCATCAGTTATCTTTTGGGCACTACAGGTTTATTTTCTTCTCTTGGAAAGGTGATATTCTTTTGCAAATATGGGGGGTTTCCTGCCTTTTCAAAGACAAACACATTTCAGTTAAAAGGATGAACACAAACTGACAAGTGTTGACTCATATTATCAGAGAGTAGCAGGAGCATCAATTTCAGTTTTTCAGGAGAGGTTTGGGCTGTAAGGGAAATTCTGGTCCTGAAGTGGACACTCATTCCAGAACTTAAATTCAGACAATGAAAAGAGCAACCCATTACAGTTTCACAAGTTATTTTAGAGAACTCCCACCACCATCACTGGTACAACTACACCTTTCTTTCTAAAATACCCCAAACAAAGCAAAACCCACCGCAATTTCACTGCCACTTACACCAGTTTTCTGCATTTCTGACACACCAAAATTCCTGATGCTTTCCCTGCAAGAATTCCTGGTGAACTCCTGACACACAAGCTCTTCACAGCCCCAAGGTTGTGGCTGGGTGGATTTTCCAGCAGCCATGACCTCACTGCTAAAGCACTTTCCATGATTTCACTGGTTTAATAGGAAGGTACATTCACTCCAGAACGTGCTCCTGCACCAACACTGATTTTATCCATGGTCAGACACAACAGCTATTCCAGAGTAAAATCCACCTCTCATTTGACCCCTGAAATACATTTGCTGGTTAAATTAGTTAAATTAGAGCCGCTGATCAGCCACTTCACACACGTTCTCTCGCTTCCCAATTAGAAGATTTCACATCCAGTGCGACATTCTCATCACCAGTGGTGTCATGTTAAATACTGGGTTTCCAAAACAACCATTTATGCAGAGAACTCCCCCTGTGTGCCAAGTGTTACAGTCCAACAGAACATGCAGAAGATACATCAGCCAGAGCTGAACAACAAAAAGTCTTTCTTACCACCTATGCAAAACATTAAGCACAAATGTTTTAGGTGAAGACCAGCCTGGTCGATATGAACTGAATGTGAAAAATAAAAAAAATAGAATTAAAACAAGAGTTAATTAAACAGCTATAAACCAAATCAGCTTTTTAAAAGTATCCCTTGATTTGCACCAAAAAGACACCCCTCAAACAAGAAGGAGCACCGTATGAGAAGGAATCGCACTGCATGGAGTGGTAAAACCAGACAGACCATCCCACCCAAGACCTTCCTCCCAGCTCAGCCTTCTTTGCCCTCCTGGAAAAGTTCCCTCCCCACTACCAAGTTCCTCACCCAGTAAATGAGAAGTGACCCCCACAAGCAAGGGGTGCAGGTGCAAAACAAAGACTAAAATAAAAATAAACCAAGGAAGGCTCTGCTCTTTCGCATTTTCACCTACAACTACCAAAACTGAGCAAAATGGTTTTGCCAGCTCCACAGACGCCAGAGAAATCCAGCCCCAAATGCTCCATAACAAGTGACAAGGCTCTGTATATTTTCTGCTCGTGTCCCTTATCAGCAAGAGGATCTCCCCCTCAGGAATCACTGCTTCAGTACCACTCAAAGTTATTTTTTAAAAGCAAATCAAGCATTTTCACCTGCAGTTCTTCACATGAACCTTCAACTCAACCAAACATAAGGCATTATCCACGTGCTACCTTTTATAATCTGTGGTTTACAGAGCAGGACTTTCCTAACTGGAATCATTAGGAAAATTGTAATCCTGGAAATTTGACAGATGGGGAGGGATTGACAGGCAAAGAAAGCAAAGAAAACAAGTTCTCATTTTTAAAATCACTAGAACGTGTCTAAAATTCTTAACTGGGGAAAAAATGATTTCTTCCTCTCATGGCATCTCTTTGAGTACAGTACAGATATTTAAGGACAGAATCATTTCTGTTTTTTCCCAAACCCTTACTGTGTTATAGAGCAGCAGGCATTTAATACCTGTGCTGGTTTTGACTGGGATAAAGTTCATTTTCTTCACATTCTTCCCTGTCTTTAGTCCCACCCCTGAGTTTTCCCAATCCTCCCCTTATCCAGTGAGCGAGTGGCTGTGCAGGGCTTGGATTGCCAGTTGGGGTTAAACCACGACAATATTGTTAAGTTTTCTACGTTAAATTTGCTAAACCCTGGGTTACCATCCCAAAAGAAGCTGACCAGGCCCCCATTCCAGCATAGTTTGATGACAAACCCAAGCAGAGGGAGCTCCACGATTCAGTGCAGCCCTGCACGCAGTTACTGAAATATGCTCATGAAAACACAACCAGAGTATTTCCCATGTATCAAATTCCAGGGATTAGAAGCAAATTACAAAGTGCTTTAAAGCATTAAAGGCACTCGTGGTCCAGCAAATGTTTCAAAAGGCGAACTTACTTGGGAAACCAATTTAATCCCAGATGTTCTGTTTTGGAGTACAATATCCTCTCCAGCATTTCATAAAGCGGTCTCCATGGCAACTCCAAATCATCCCTGGAAAGCAGCTCTTTTTTCCTGGTAGGAAACAAAACACCGAGCACTTCAGGATGAAACATTTACACGGAACACCCCAGCCCCTGCTCCCAGTTTGGCACCCACTGCAGGAAGGCCAGGCAGCAAAAAGCTGGCCACTGGCAGCACTCCCAAGATTTTCCTGACTAAGTGAAACAAACACTATTGAGTTGTGAGCCAGCCCTCGCCCTCCCCCTGGCTGAGATTAAACCTTGGCTCTCTGAGATGTTTGCTTTTCCTTATAGGGGGGAAAAATGACGTTCTTCCATTCCAGCACCACTCCTAAAGCTGGTGTTTGCACCGTGGGGGCTCCTGACCCCACAGCAGCTGCTCAGGGCAGGTGAGTGAGGTAACCTGGGGCACCACACACAGTTACACACAGATAGAACGACCCTGAGCAAGTGCCCAGGAAGCATCCCCGGCCCACAGGAAGGTGTCCTTACTTCAGCAGGTTTATGAGCAGCCGTGCAAAGCCCTGCATCATGCTGATCTCCAGCCTGGGAATGGTCACCAACTCATAGAGCAGTTTGATGAACAGCACGTGATCCTCTCTGTTGAACTTCCTGCCGTACAGGCGGATGTACCTGCCGAGAAACAGCCGGTGAGTCAGCGAGGTTTGGGGCACTCCAACACCCAGCCCGGAGCCACAACTCCTCTGACTGCCTGCTCGGGAAACAAAACTCAAACCTGGCTCACCAGTCCAGCCATGGCACACAGCAAGGGAAGGTGGGCAGCTACAGCCACAGGAAGAATGACCAAATAAAGTTTACAGTCCCCTAAGGTCCTACAAATACTGCAACTTCATAAACAGGCTAAAATTAAACCCAAAAAGTATCAGGTCAAGCCCAAATCCAGTAGCTTCCAGTAACAACTGATTTAGACATTGAGTTTTCCTGGTGGTGTGTCCCACTGCTTCCCTTGTTTTCACCGCAGGGGTAGATCCCTCAGGAAAAACACTGGGAGGTGTGTTTGCTCTTTTCAAGTTGAGTTTGAAAAGAGAAATATGTTTTAAGTCTTAAAAGATATTCTGCCCCAGCAAAACCTATATAAGGTTCCAGGGCAGCATTTAAGATGTGGCACAACTAGAAATTACTACTCACTGGGAGACAGCTTTTCACTTTTATTATTGCTCCAACTACTCCAAAAGATTCATCAGAAATCTGCTTTCCACTGCCCTTTTCTTTTTCCCAGTGATTTCAAGAGGGGAATTTCTAAATGTTTACATCTGATGGGCAGTATTTTCACTAATGTTCACTTCAACAGGTTGTGTTTATTTCAAACAAAGCAAATAGGGGATAACCCACTTTCCCACCCCTAAAATGGACATGCAAAAAGAATCCTCAGGGAAACAAAAATGGATTATATATATATATATAATAAAAAAAAAAAAGAAGGTGCAGAAGCCTGGAGAGTAAGTTTTAACTACAAAGAAACACAGAGATCCAATTTATCTGTCAGCTGCTATTTATAACCGAAAATAAAGTGTTTGGCTGGTTCTCCTTCTTGACATTTGCTAACAACAGTTCTGTTCCACAAAATGCTGTTTAATTAAGAAACAGAAGAAGGAGGAAAGTGCACAGAAACGTGCTCAACACAGAGATGTCACTGCCCAGGCGCCAGGACCAGATGCCAAATTGCTCCTGTATTTTCCTTTATGTAGGAAGGAGGCAGAGTTTAAAAGGGTCAATTATTTGCCTTAATCCAGTTGAGCATTAAGGGAATGACAGAAAATAAATACTTCTAGAAAGGGGTGCTCAGCCTTTTCCTCCAAGATTAAATGAGTGAATTGTAACAGAGGGGAACTGGAATATTTTCAGAATATCTCTCACAAGGGATGAAATATCCCCATTACTAAATGAAAGAATACAGGCAGAACTTCATGAACCCAGGGGCTAATCACACATGTGCATGTTCATCATATATTTATAAAATATATGCTGGCTTTTCAGGATTAAAAAAACCAGTTATTTGGGTTATGGGGGGGGAAATTGATTCTAGAACTGAATTGTTGCAAAATAAAATGAAGATTTCTTACAAGAAAGCAGATAATACTACCCTGAGACCTGAACTCTCGAGTCCACTGCCCTTTTGGTTCCTCTGAGGTTTTATGAGCCCTGAGCCTCAACCTGTCCTGCCAAAAGGGTAAATTAATTGTCCTTCATTGTGCTGGCCCCACGGGTTTTGATTTGGAGTTCAGCCACAGGGAGAGGGGAAAAAAAACAAGCAAGCAAACAAACAAAAGCCACTCACACAACCTAAGAAACATGATTAGGAAGTGAAAACTCTGTTTCCAGCTCTCTGCCTTCTGTCCAGAGTGCAGGGTCTCTGGAGATTACCAAACAGCCAATTCCCTAATCCAGGCTGTCCAATCTCTCGCTCCACAAGTACAATAGGCCTATTTTTAGGCAATGTGCTACCCTATCAAGTGACCACCCTGAAGTGCCCTAGAAAGTTGGCTGCTCTGCTACAGTTAAAAATTCCCCTCACTTAAACTGAACAGAGCACTTCCCCAAATTCCTGGCTGTCCACTTGCATTTTCTGACACCCAGCACAGGACCACGAGTGGTTTCAAGCTCAGATTTTGACAGATAACATGGAAAACAACGAATCCCGCTCAGCAGGGCTATTTAAATCACGTGCACACAGCACACACGTCCCTCATGTGTCCAGAGGAAAGCTGCTATTTCATTGACAAAGATGAGAAAAAAGATGTAAACCAAGGGTTTTAGGCAATAGTGGTTAAAGCACTCAGCAGAGTCCCACTGAGACGCTCCCAACCTCCCTGTAACTCTGTGTCCTGTCATTCTCATTCCAAACAACTGAGCTGCACTTTTTCCACACCTTACAGCAAGACAGTTAAATGTCATTTTGTAATAAGTCTATGCCTGACAAGCACAAAAAACAACACTGTCAGTGACAGAAACTGTGTCCCTCAGCTTCAAACAGCCCTGTCCACTGGAGCAGAAAGCATGGGAAGGCATTTGTGTCTCTTCCTGGCTGCAGAGTCCACTCCAAGCACAGCAAGAATGAAATGTTTATATTCTATTAATATGCTCATTTATTGGCTACATTCTAAAAATAAACTAAAAAATTAAACCATCTATAAAACATGACAGAGGGAAAAACTGAAAGAGTGGGCACTTGTGACCTCGAGACCGTGAAGGGTTGTGGTGCAAGGCCAGCGAAGCAAATTATTGTGCTGCAAGCTGCTTTGCCCACACACGCTGGGCAAGTTACCCAGCCGAGGTTCACTGCTCTGCTTTCACAACCAGGGGAGCATCTTACAAGGGACACAGTTTACCAGCCAAACCTGGAGGACTCCTGGGGCGATGGTTACAGATTTGAGTGCCAATCCTTGAGACAAAGAGCTGTACCTGCTTCAGGAGCCTCACTGAGTCATGAGTCACTCACTGTCCTCTCAGCAAAGTTCTCTCACCACACTCCACACACATCCCCACCAAAGGGCCAGTTGTCATTGCTGAAAATTACCCACAAAAGAATTATGCAAATGAGCTCACAGACATTCCACCTGATAAACTCCAACTCTGCCTCTTTTTTCCCCTCCCTGCTCAGTTCATGACATCAGCCCAGAACAGCTGCACCACGATAAGCATGTGCAAGTCATGCTTCCAGCTGTGGGGTGTGTAAGAAATTCTCCCTGGCACCGTGAAATAGTACTCAAATTATTAATTCAGAGAAAGAGCCGAGTTTCACTTTCGTTCTTTGCTGAGGCACAAAGAGCTGTGTGAAGCTGTGGGTCCCTGAGGGGGTGTAACTGTGCAGGTGTATCATCTGCACGCCCTTGTTTTCCTGGCTGGGTTACATGTTTGTACACATATCACCGGGTTTGCACTAACATTTGTATCTGCCTGTCTAAACAAAGAACAGATCAAAGACATAAATTACTTCACAGAATATTGCAGCCTTCATACCACTATGAAGATTCTGACCTTTTCTTTTTAATTCATTTATTAATTACAGCTGTCCAGAAGGGGAAAAGGGAGCAAGTTGATTTGGAGATGAATCCCCAACTATCAAGAGACAGCAAAACTTGGATTTTATTGTCATTATTCTGTAATTTAATTTAGGTGTGACATCAGGACACCACATGGCTGGAAGTGTTTTACCCAGGCCTAAACTTTTACAGACATATTTCACAGAATCCCAGGAGGTTTGGGTTGGAAGGGACCTTAAAGCTCACCCAGTGCCACCCCCTGCCAGGGGCAGGGACACCTTCCACTAGCCCAGGTTGCTCCAAGCCCCATAATCCTGGCCTTGGACACTTCCAGGGATGGGGCAGCCACAGCTGCTCTGGTCAAGCTCTGCCAGGGCCTGCCCACCCTCCCAGGTGAATTTTCTCCTAATATCTGATCTAACCCTCCTCTCTGTCAGTCTGAAGTCCATTCCCCCTTGTCCTGTCACTCCAGGCTCTTGTAAAAAGTCTCTCTCCACCTTTCTTGCAGGCAACCTTTGGGTACTGGAAGGCCAAATTCAGTCATCCCTGGGCCTTTTCCAGGCTGAACAATCCCAATTCTCTCAGCCTTTCATCCCTCAGAAGTACTTTCTCGAGTCAAACTAAGCAGCACCACATCTCTCACGTTAACTACAGCAGCTCATTTTTTACTCCAAGCCCACTGCTTCCTTCCCTGCCCACACCAAACACACTCAGAGCCTCGCTGCATCTAATGTGCCACCCAGGAATCCTGGTACTAACAGGCATCAGACAAGCTGCAAACACACACAATGAACTCAAACTTCAAAGAGTAGGTGGAAAACCACAAATTAGAGCCTGCTGACCTTCCTGTGATTCATAAAGCAGCACAGCAGCCATTCTCAGCAGGCCAAATTCAGTGCCCTGGAGCCTGAAGTGGGAACGGCAATTGTCATCTACAGAGTGAGTAACGGGGTGATTCCAACACAGCCCGGCACACTCTGAAAGGGCTTCTGTGCCTGCTTAGCCACAATTCAACAGTTCACGCCCGTCCTCCTCACAGTGAGAACTCCTAAGTTCATTTTAACTCGAGTGGTACAGGAAGCTCTACCACAGGTCCAGGGAACAGGTACCTCTGACCCCAGTGAGAGGAGCAGATGGCTGGGGGGGTGGGAAGGGAAACAGCGTTGAACTGGTTCCAAGCAGGTTCAAACTGTCACACAACCAAACATGTGAGTCATTTTGCAACCACCACTGTAATTCTATCTAAGGCTGCCTCTTGGGAAACAGAAAGGCACTTACATTTCAATACAGTCCTCTCTGCCGGGCTGGGCTGGCAAATGAGTATGAAATCCTTTGCTAAAGTTAAAGAAATGGCTTATGGAAGGAGGGAAGTTGTAAGTGAAGATCTGGAAATGGTCCAGAACACAGGTATTCCATTGCTCCTGGCACGTAGGGAGCACTGCTTATAAAGGCACACACGGCATTCGGCAACATAACGCGATAAACATCCACAGAAGTTACTGATTGAAGCTGCAGGAGTCACTGTCATATGATGCCACATCCAGTGCCAGAGAGTCCCAAAAGAAAGAGGGCCAAGCACATTTCATAAAACTCACGAAAAGAAACCCTTATGTAGCACCCGGTGCTATCTATGAAACCAACGGGGCTTTATCTGTATCAAAACCACTTCCCAGCACGCACAGCAGAGCCAAAACCAGTATAAACTACACCGAGCCACAGTACAGACAAGATATCAAGGGCACCAGGGTGTTTACACAGCATTAAGCCAGAATTTAATCCTGCCAGCACTGACCCAACAAATCACCCGTCCAGCGAAAGACTTTGCGCCCCTACAGCACAAGTTACACAGCGACGGCACCAACCACAACTTTCCTAAGAAGGCAGGAGGTGAAACAGGTGGCCGAGTAGGAAGAAAAATATTAAAAACAGCAGAACAAACAAACGCTCAAGTGCTCAGTTCGTAAAACTGGGAAGTTTCCGAGCGGCGGGCGAGCTCTTGCGAGCTCTTGCCACCTTTGTCCCCGTTTGGGATGTGGCAGCGCTGGCGGGCCTTGTGTAAGCGGGGCCGGGGCAGCGGCCGGAGGCGCGGCCGGCCGGGACAGCGGGCTGTGCCCGAGCGGCGCCCGCCGCACCGTTATGCGGGAGGCGGCCCGCAGGCACGGGGAGGGGGGGACGGCAGGGGAAAGAGAGGGGAGGGGAAGGGTCTGCCGCGCCCGCTCGCAGCCCGAGGCCCCGCTGCCCGTGCCCGTCCCGCCCCGGCACTCACGTCGAGAGCTTCCTGGTCCAGAAGAGCCCGCCGGGCCAGAGCTCCTGCAGCTGCACGGCGCGGGCCAGGTTGCCCTTGATGTGCTGGAGGAAGCGGGCGGCCTCGGCCTCCAGGCGCTCGCCGTAGGGCAGCAGCTTGTTGTAGACGATCTCCTTCTGCGGCGGCCGGGCCATGTCGGCGCTGCCCGGGAGGGCCGGTGGTGACCGCGGCCGCCGCGCCCCGCCCGCCCCGCTCCGCTCACTTCCGCCGGAAGGGGCCACGGGGCGGCTCCGGGAGCGCCGGGGCAGCGGCGGTGTTAGCCGGGGCAGCGGGGCCGGGGCAGCGGCACGGCCGGGAAAGGGCAGTGCCACCGCCGGGGCAGCGGCACGGCCGGGGCGCGGCGGGGACGCGGGGCAGCCCCTGCGCGGGGAGCCGGCGGAGGGGCCGCGCCGGCCGCCCGGGCTCAGCCCCCGCGCTCCGCGGGCGGCTCGAAAGCCCTTCCCGAGGAGCTGCCGCCGCCCGCACACGTAGCCGAGGGACAGCGGTGACCGCCCGGCTGTGCGCGGCGCTCCTCGCCCGAAAAGCCCGGTGCGGGGCGGGGGCGCGCCGGGCGCTGGGGACGAGGCGCCGTCCCCGGAGGAGCTCAGGGCGGCTCTGGGAGCGCCCGCCTGGCACGGCACGGCTGGCACGGCCCTGCGGGGTCACAGGTCGCGCTCGATGAGCTCACAGGTCTCTCCCAGCCTAATTGATGCGGTGATTCCGTAATTAGCCCCGCGGGTTGATAGCAGATTGCGCGGCCGCCTAAGAGGCTTATTTGAAATAATAACGCCAGCCGGGAGGGCAGAGCTCGCCCGCGGGCCGTGGGTGTGGGATAAACGCTGATGGATATGTGATAACGCCGCCGGTACTGCTGATAGCTGTTATCTCCAGCTGTCCTCAATAGAATTGTTAATTGAATTTCCCCTCAAGAATTACATCGTGGCCATACAACAGCTGCAAACTGATTAGATTTAAACCTCCTGACAAGGGCAAATCCTGTTTTATGATCTTTATGCTCAAACTAGCTCTGCTTAAAATTTAAAAAAAAATGAAAAAAAAAGAGAAAGATGGCTAACTAAATGCTGGAACACATTAGAGGGAGGAGAGATGCCACAGGAAACCTAAATATGACAAGCAAAGGCATCTTCATGGCATTTTCCTGAGGGGTGCACTCACACCATCTACACTTCTCACTCTCCTAGAGCTGTGTTTTTAATAAAGGAAGCTCAGTAATTTTGTGTAGTGTCCCAGACTTTGGAAACAGCCCCCCATTCCTAGAAGAACTCGTACCACGTGATCCTGAGGATTGCATATCAACTTTTACACGATTACAAAATAGCTGGACTTTGTTATTGTTTTTGTTGTGATTTGGAAGGTGTTTGCTGCCATCTTTCACAGGGGCTTTACAACTCTGTTGCCTCATGAGGCAAAACAATTCTCTGCCCTTTTCTGGCCTCAGTTACAAATGAAACTTGGTCGTGCTCAAATTTCTATGGGGATGAAGAACACTGATTTAGTGTTTGGCTGGTGAAAACAACAAGCAAAATTAATATGAAATGAATAGTTTTATCACCAATTCACACAAGGATAAATTGGATAACTGGCCCAGAAGCTGTAATAAAAAACCAATAGCCGTGGATAAGTGAAAATATATGTGTAGTGAAACTGAAAAGTCTAAAATTACTTATTTTGTGTCACACTCAATATGTAATTGCAATGGTGGCTTGTTCAAACAGGCATTTCCAATGGGGGAAAGTTTATTAGATTTGAAGCAGGCAGAGTTTGTTTGGACTTGGAGGAAAATAAAATCCAAATTATACTCCAATTTTCTGCAATTGAAGTTGGCAGATACATAAGGAATGTCAAAGCTGCATTCTGTTGCTTCATAGCCATGTTATAAAAAAATACTCCTCCCCTTTCTGACTCAAGTTGAAACTGAAGCTTGATTTTTCACACGTTTTGCAGTGTGAGTGAGCACCTCTGACCTCAGGGAGCATATTTTGTCTGCACCAACAATCTACCTTCTCATCTGTAACCTCAGACACATGAGTGCCTTCCACCAGAATGAAACACTTACCTTTGTGGGGGGAAACATGCCAAGTGTGCACCTCAGACAGTCATCCTACTACCTCCTCCTTCCCAGGAATATGATTCCTCTTTTCAGAGTCTGAAACAAGGGAAAAGGAGATTCCCAGTCCACTCACAATCGTAAGCAGACATCCAGTACTTGCATTCTGAATGTATTTTCTGTATACTGATCAATTTAATAATTACATTTAATAATTATTTAAAAACTTATCCTTTTCCCTCTCCCCGTTATGCTGCCATCCTGCTTCATAAAATGGGAACAAGAATGATAAATTTTGCCCAGTGAGTCAAAAATAACCGTGTTCTTCAAGCTTGCAATGTGTTTTGGCTGCAGCCGTGTGTGAGAGCACATTCGGTTCCCGAGTCACATGATGGAGGACGGGCCTCTAACAACACAGGACCCGTCTGTGCTTCTTGCATCAACAGCTCTTTCCTCTCTTATTAAGTAGGAGGAAGAATGTGAGTTGCCAGCAACCCAAATATGGCTGCCACCTGTTGGTTTTGGCACTAAATCCTGAGAATTGATGAAGCTGAGTGTTGTAGCTGTGAAGAAAATACAACCTTTCCATTCATGAGCAGTTTGGAGTGGTGACAGTGGCTCAGGGCACGCCGGGGGTTGTTCACACATTCCCTCCTCGGACGGTGCCTTGGGGAGCCGACCCCAGCACTGGCACAGGGATCTGGGAGCTTAACCCTGCTTTCCACCATCTCCAGCCACGGCTTCTCTTACAAAGGAATCCTGGCACAGCTTGCCCACAGAAGCTGCAACAGCAGCAGAGAAGCTGCCCCATCCCTGGAAGTGTCCAAGGCCAGGTTGGAGCAACCTGGGCTAGTGGAAGGTGTCCCTGCCCATGGCAGGGGGTGGGACTGGAGGATCTTTAAGGTCCCTTCCCACCCAAACCATTCTGTGATTCTAGCTTGGAAAAGAATAGCCAATCCAACAGGATCTTCATGATGCCTGTATCCTCACTGCCCTGGTCTGTGACCTCCCATATCTCACAAGGCCCCATTACAGAAATAAAGAGGAATAACTTGCTTTTTGATGGGGCTCCTCAGACTTTCCCTCATCCCAGTGTTTCTAAATTGGTCAGTCATCCAAAGCTGGCACTGAAAGGTGCCAAAGGGACAACTTAGAAATGTGCCTATTGCATAAAGTTCTATTTTACAGAGACTTTGTCTACTTGGGGGATGAGGACAAGAAGGATTTCAGCATCTGAATGAGGTGCCAAGGAACTTGGGCTTCCTGTGTAGTATGGGACAGAAATAGGCTCTCCTAAAGCGTGATTCAGAGGAACTAATTTTAGGTCCCTAAAATAAGGCTGCCTAAATACTCTGTGACAGGTTTCAAGTTGGATGGGGAGGTGGGTTCAGTGTCCCCTACGGCACACAGGCTGAACTTTGTGCTGTTTCTGTAATGCCTGGTTAAATCTCTGTGTTCTAACAGAAGTGGAACATTTCTCAGTTCAGCCTCTGCTGAGCAGAAATAAGAGGCACTTGGGAAGGGGTTAAAGTGTTGTTACGGGCACCTGTAGAATTGTAAAGCTTTACTGCACAGGCAAGGCTGACCAGATATGTGCAACATTGTTATCCTCCACTTTACATTCTCGCAGTTCTGTTCATGGGGTTTAAACCCATCCTCAGTTACAGCCATTCACAAGACACCGTTTGGCCTCCACTCTTTCCCAGCTGAAGTTAGTGGGTTACTGTTCTTACAATGGACAGGCACTGCTTGTACAAAACCAGGACCTAAATCCTCCTTGGTGAAATAAATTAATTTACAGCAAAGCTTGCTTTCCCTCTCCAGGTTCCTGGATTTGTTCTCTTTATGTGCCTTATTGCCTGAGATTTGGAAAGCAAAATTGTCTCAAATCCACATACAAGAGAATCTGCCTTTGACAGTCTGTTTCCTCTACATGTCTGAAACTCCCAAAGATATCCCTGGAAACTCTTGTGCCTGCAGGGGAAAAAAGCAACAGACTTGAGCCTCATTATAAGAGGCTCCTTCCAAATTACTCACAGCCGTTTGAAATACATAATAATTCCCTGGACATGACAGAAATGCAGCCAACTTTGGGGAAAGAGACATTACTCTTTTTTTTCCCCTTTTTCATTTTGAACCACTGAGATGGATTTTTGTGTCTCACAGTGTCTTGCCAAACAGAAACCAGCTGCAGGGGAGCATGTGATGACAGTGAACTCCCAAAGGTCAGTCCTAGGGATTGTGCTGTTCTAGGAACTGAAGGAAGCACAGTCCCTTGGAGCCTGCAGTCACACAGAAACTGCTCATTCTGGACTGGGGTGTTCCAAACAGCTGCCTGTGTTTGCCAGGGCAGGACTGTGACACACTTAACCCAAGTGCTTGAGTAGCTGGTCGTATGTATTGGTTTTTCAGTGGCCAGTGTGTCTGTTGCAGATTCATCTGCAGTTCACAGTCCTCTGGTTTGTCTATTCATCATCAAGAGGAGACATTGGCAATGCCTATTAAAAGGAAAAAAACCTATAAGATTTGTTCTCCCAAGCCAGGATAAATCAAATAACAGCCAAACCCCTTTGCTCAGGTTTCCAGCCTTGTTTTGAGCAGCGTTCAGCACAAATAACTGTTGTGTTTATCATGGCCTTACCTCCAGTGCTTGTTCAGGCTTTGATTCTTGGGGTGGACTGAGTGTTCACTGTTTGGACTCGTGGATCTGAAGTATTTAAATATTTATGAATTCTGGAAGAGAAGCAAGCTCACTTAAATATTCCCTTAAGCAACCAATCCTTTCTCTCCTGCTAAAGAATTACTTATCCTTAGCTCCAGGTTTTGTGCATGGAATCTGCACGGGAGACTTTCTGGCACGTTTCTAAAGCAGCAGCCTCTCTCATGGGATGTTATGGAGACACCCAGCAGATTGACAACCCTCTGAGAGCATCTCATGGAGCCAACTCAGAGCTATCCAGGATTCATTTGGGCTAACGTGGCGTGTTGTTTGTGCCCGTGTCCTGGAAATGTGGTGATAATAACTGTAATTGTGTCAGGGGCGTGACTGTGGCAATGCCAGTCCTGCTGACTAACACTGAGACTCAAGGAACTCTAAATTGGTTTATTATTGTCTCAGGTGCCCCATTAAGAAGAGCTCGAGGTGAAAC